GACAAAAGTATGATTCAATTTGTAAAAAATAAGTCTTGATAAATCGTACTATAGTTAAAAATTTATTATGTATTATGAAACGTTAAATTGGAAAGTAGAAATTTAAAATTCTGTAAAGCAAAATGTACCAGGCATTAAAAAAAAAATGAAAAACGTTTTATAATTTAATGCTCAATAAATTATTAAAGTGTATTATTGTCAGATATTTATAAAAAACAACTTTATAGTTGTAATCACGTGTTATTAATCATCACGTATTCTATTTTTCTTGGTAAGATTTTCCAGGAAACATATTTTCATAAGTATAATCTCTTAAAATATAATTTTATCAGATCAATAATTTTTATTTTTATTTCTACTGTGGTAATAGTTATTCGATATATAGTCTGAAGTGATTTGAATGAACCGACAAAGAGTTGTTTTAATTGAGGTTTAACTCTCGCTTTACATCGCTATAACTGGAAACTTGTAAAATTATTTTAAAATATATATAACAACTAAGTAGATGTTTGTATTAAATCTGAATTATAAATAATATTTATATATATATGGTGTTCACAGTTACTAAAAATGAATTCCACTTAAGTGCTTTGATATATAACTTTAATTTATACAACAATCTATTTTATTAGGAACTCAATTGCTTTTAATAACTATTACTACGTATATTAATTTTAATCGTATAATCTAAAATATATAAGCGTTTTCCAAATTTAGCGATTGATAGGTATTAGTAAATTATTAACTTAATTAAAATATTTAATCATTATATATTTATTTTTAGTAGTAGTAATTTCAAAATTGAAATTTACAATGTAATAATGATGTTAATTAAGAAATAAAACAAGTGTTGACAGCAATATCGAAACTTCTATTGACTACGTTTCAAATTTAAGTAAGTACTCCAAAAGCCTTATAGGACTCAAAAGGAAACATTAAATATGGCGGAGTACAGTCTGAAGATATCCAATTAAAATGGTTGCGAAAGTTTGAACTCGATTATATACATGGGAAATCAACTCAAGTTAACCTTTTTCAGTATGCTATTTATTATTTCACAACTACTGAACAGTGAATACAATACAAAAGGGTGTATAAATTCATATTAAAGTAAACAACTTCTACAGTCAGTGTGTAAAATAATGGACATGAACACACTGCATTTAATGATCAATTTAAAGAAGTGTTGAATGGCTATACATGTATTAAGACGTATATGTATAAACTGTTTTTAATAAAAAACGTAGTTTTTAAAGTATTTATCTTTTATCAGCATAGTTAAACTATTTCAATTATTTATCTTTGAATTAAAAACAATTTCAATTTAATTTCGTTAATGTTAGCTAGCATTCTATTTATTTTTTATATATTTATTTTTACCTACACAACCTACACAAGGAGCAACAGCTAATAAAATATGTACCTTAAAACGTGTTATTATTTACCTAATTTAATTTTCGATAGCATGATACGCGCCCTATAATTGACGCTGATTTATTGAAAAACATTAACGTATTGAAAGTACACATGGTATAATGCAGCATCGTAATTATGTATAGATAATATTCTGTTATGTTTCTCAGTCACCACGAATGGTAATTTGAATATTTTCCTGAAGATCCGCACAGATAAGTGAACATACGCAGACATGTTGGCGGTAGTTGAAAGACAGATTGGTGCGAAGAAGACACGGTTATTAGCGGACCTGGATCACCTATGACCCACCGATATTTCGTCGGCAACAAACAAATGACTTGCTCACATGTATCCACTTTCTATAGCCGGAGAACGGCTGCAGCAAGTGACCATCGCGTTTGCACATGCTCTCGCTCATATTAACTGTGTGTCCGTGTTCAGGCCATTATCATAATATGCCACACGATTTGTTAATTGTTAATACACGAAAACAATAGACCCACGTAACGGTTTAACGCGGCCTCACACGGTTACCCTCTTTTCTCCGATCAGTCTTCGGACTACATTATTTTATCCGCGATCGTGTTCGATTAGTTTAACAGTATTAATTTTGTATCATGTCACGATTTTTGTGATTTGCCACCGTATCACTCTCCATTTATCAGCCCGCTTGAATTTATTTAATGTCGAAGGTCAGAAAAATTGTTTAAATGTAATCAATTGATCACAGCTGCTATAATATTTAATATATGCGTAAACCTCATTTTATAGTAAAAAAAACTGGGACAGAACACATTTAAAGCATCAAAAATACTGTTTAACATTTATTGGTAGCAATCGTGAGATAATAACTTTTTTGACAGCGAGTTTATATGCTAATGTTGTATAGTAAATGAAAGGTTTTATTTTGTTACGTCGAAAAAAGATTTCTTCATATCATATCATAAATTTAAACGATTACTTATATTTATTGACAGCGAAATTCTTTTTAGGAAAATTATTTCCAAGCCACATGAAAGTTATAATTAAAAAAGAACAAATTATTTGAAGAAAAAAAATCATACATTAGTAAATTAGTATGTATTTATAACTTCGTCTGGATTAAAATAGATTAAAATAATTAAAACAAGTTACTTGAAACTCAGATAAATAATAAAACCAATTTAATTTGTGCCTCGTTCATTTTTACGTTAATTATTCTAATACTTACTGCTAAAAATGACTTCTAATAATCACACGTGTTTATTAATGTTTTGAATTTTTTATTGTATTGTTATGTATATACCATATAATTTATATTAAAAAATATAATCGAGTTTAATCATAAAGAAAAGCTTATATGTAATCATAATTTTATGTTTACCATAGTAAACATTACAATGAGAGTTCAATAAAGATGAATAACGACATTATTAGATATGAAGTTTTAATAGACAAAAAATAGACAAACAGATATTCAAATAGCGGTGTGATATTTTTCCAGAGTACTAAAAGGGAACACGTCAAAATATATAATTATAAGCAATTATGCGAATACTCTCAATGAATTAGTAACTTAATATGTTATAAGCACATGGAACTTAGATATTTAATTAATATAAATAAAGTTTAAAAAGCTTTAATGAACAGAACTAAAACAATATTAAAAATAATGCAAAATTTTTACTAGTTTAAAGTAAATAACAATAAGTAAACCTCAATAACAAAATGATACTTAAAACGATTTCAATATTATTTGTTTTAATAATGTGAGAAGACACAGTACCGTGTTACTTTTGGCCGCACAATACGTTATAAATCTAAACGAAGTGTATGGACTTGTGAAACAAGTGTGCGGTGGCTTAGCGGTAAGGTTTGTCTTTACAGCACACAGGATCTAATCCCGTACATTGCCTTTTTTCTCACATGACTTCCGGTACTCTTTTGATGACCGGACGTCAATTCTCGATTGGGAATCAAACCGCTCTTCTCACGTAACAGACGGCGATACTTATCACTGTACTACCGAGGCGGTCGTGTTTAAGTAACAAATAATAAGTATATGAAATTCTGAAGAACCTACGAAAAACAAGATGTTAAACTGCATTTTTCATAAGAATTTAACGAATAATAATACTTTTGATTGCATTTCATATATTATATTAACAATATTATAATTGAACCTCGAAAATTATATTATATAACGCGTAATTAGCAGCGCTGCTAATATTAGTTATGACATAGAATTTTGACAGATACAACATTATTATTAATTTAAAATTTGATTAAGAAAGGCGTGGGTGTACTCCTACAACGAACATAGTTTATAATAACCGTTGAACGAATCGTAATAAATAACGGTTACCAATGTATAATAATACTGTAGTACAAGTTTCCCAGTGATATATACGATGATATCATGTCGTCGACTAGGGCGATGACAAGTTAATATATGTTTAATTGTTCTCTCGGCTAAATATCATTGTCGATGCCCAACAATATTTATTCTTCTATCATTTCCACCGTCTATATTTTTCCACACAATATAAGTCATGTTTGATGTGTCTATATTTCGTGTCATGTTTCGTTTGTAACGGCTCCTCCTTACTCCTCGCGGCTACAAGTTTTCACGAACTAATAAACTCGGTAACTATTGGCGGTCCAATGTTTTATAGCTTTGATACACTCATGAAATGTATGTACTATGCAAATGAAATAGTTCATACCTTTTTATTTTCCAGATAGTATACTTGCGCGTAAATAAAATGACTCCAATCTCAACTTAGGAGATCGTGTAAAAAACACGTTCCGAAACAGCTATACGGAGTTCAGTATAATCACAATAAATAGTATAAGTCTGGACACGATTCAAAGAATATACGTTAACGTTTTTAAATGATCATTTAATAATGAAGGATAAGTATGAGTAATTATTTTGTTATCAAGTCTTAATTCAATTATAGCGCTCGCGTTGAGTTCAGCGATATCTTTTTTTAAAACTTTGTCTGTGCAAGTAATTAAAAATCATGTATGCATCACATAATTAGCTTACAGCTTCAATTTAAAAAAACTCGTCATACGTGTATATGGATATATGGTCGATTAAACAACAGCTTAATGTGTTACCAGTGTTATAAACAAATATGATTCTAAGCGTGAATTGAGAATATACAGAACACTATTCAAAGAAAAGTGCCCGAGATTTTGTCCATCTTATTTTAATAGTACTAATAGTTATTGTCTCCTCCATGTGGAGTTTAATATTAGGTTTGTGCGACTTTAAATCATATTTGCCTTATCATGAAATGAGAAAGATTCGTAGGAAATACGGTTGAATGATCGATGATTTGGTGTCTACTTAATTACACAGCTTAAAATCTATGATTATAAGATTCCAAGTCATATACTAAAAGACAAACAAGTATAAGCTTAATTAATTATTCCTTTTATGGTCTTGAAAGTCAATTATATACGAACTAATTTATATAAGAAATAACTTGGGTGAAATATTACTTTGCTTGAATTAACAAAAATATATGTAAGCGAAATAATACACGAACTATATCCAATACGCATTCAAATTATAAAACTATCTATTTACTGACCTTATTAAGTATTCCTCTTTTGAAGTTATCTCTTGAGTATTTTCCGTTAACGCTCTCGAGCTCTAGGTGCTGGGCACATTTTCGTAACTTGGTCGCTCTCTCTCGTTCCTTCATGCTCTCCATTTCCATTGTTGACATAGCTAGCTGTTTAGGTCTAAGATCTACTTCCGTTATGGGCGATCTTGAACCGTCGATGTTAATTTGAGCTGTAGGGCATCGCGATTCAGTGTCGTCGTTGCGAGAATATTTGTTGTTTAGAGTATCCGATTCCCAAGTTATCGTCATGTCTTTGAGACGACCCAATGATTTACGCCTAACTGCCGTCTCGTCATCACCGCGTACTGTACTTACCTGTTCCATGTTATTGTTTTATCTATACTGGCCATACATTTCTGAAAAATAGTTATAGATCTATATTAAAAACGTAGGCTGAAGACTTGATAATTATTTTAATTTATAATGCTAAAAAACACAATTCTAAATATGTTACGAAAAATAACAATTTAATTATTATACGCTTCTTTCAATGAGATTCTCAATCACCGCTTTTTTCACTATGTCATTTACACTCGTTTAAGTCTCTCGTATAATAATAAAAATGCATCAATGGTTACGTCTGGAAATATGTGGTGCGTACTACATGATCCAACATTTAACGATTTACCCGCCCATTTTATTTTTATTTTTATTTACATTGTTCGAACAAACATACATATCATTCGGTTGTCAGGTTAAACCGTGTTTAGTATTTATAATACGACACAGCAGTCAGTATATTATTAATTCTTTTTTTTTTATGTTATCATGATTGATCGATGACTAAGGTGAAGTGGTTTATCGAGCTCGTCAACGTATAACATGATTGGTAAGATCAACTTGTGATCAATATTTTTATTATGCACATTCATACTGTTAAGTTAAGTTGAATCAAGTTAAATTGTAAATTTTTACAGAAATACAATTTAAAAAAAAAAAAAATTAATATCATAAAATTGAATTTACTGAACAAAAATATTTACATAATTATTAATTGTAACATATTATTTAACTACACTAAACAGAAATGTTCAATATTAGAGACTGACAACTGACGGGAGTTCATACAATCACGAGGTATGAAAAATTATTATAAGCACTATTACTTTATTATAACGAATGATATCTAAACCAATCATGTCTTTATTTGAGTTAATTAGATTTTTGATGAAAAAAAGTTCAATTAAATTTGGCAGTAAAATTTTCTAGTAATGTACACGTGTTCATACTTCAATTTTTAAACCTTTGATCAATAGACTCCATGCCAACTTATAATAGATTATTCATTTTGTAACTTAAATCTTTTATTGAATATAAATAATTTCATCAAAGCTATTGAATCAATAAATGAAAAAAGTAATTTTTAAATTTGTTTTTAGCGACACTATTGATAAAAATGTTAATACGATTGGATATTTAAAATAATTATCATATATTGCACCACAATATTGTCGATTCATAAATTGTCAGTTAACTTAAATCATATCTAGTTGTCTTTATTTTTATTATTTACACTTATGTATAGTATTGCATTATTTCATTTATAAGTGTTTGGTTATAAAATGAAACATATTGTGTCTTAAATATAATACGATATTTTAAGCAACAAGTACAATCAAAATGTTGTTTGACTTTTGTTGAAAATAAACAATTATGCTATTCTAAATTTTAACTTTAATACGATTCAAAAAAAAATCTGTGATAATATTCCAAAAACTGTTATGTCACCTAAAGACATTTTTTAGTATTTTTTAGTGCAAAAAATTAATACATTTTTAAAATTGTATAGTTTTTTTTTAATGATACATGACAGATAACATTTTCTTTTATACGCATTATTAAAAATGTCACAATCCCATTTTTATGATACATCAGGATCTAAATTATTTCTTCAGCATTCGAAATTTGCTAAATTCATGTTGATACAATTATAAAAATATTGTTCTGACTTGATTAAATATATCTACTAGTTGATAACTAACAATAAATTAAGTTTGCGTGTGGCTCACTCGAAAACAAATTAGAATAATTTGTAATTCCCGTTTCTTCCTCTGCATGTGAGTCATTAATGAACCGCATTATCATTACTATGGAGAGAAAGAATAAAAAATGTATTGGCAGTTATGTAAATATGTAAGTGAATAAACGAGCAATGTTTACAAATATTTTGTGTATCGTGACCTCATAAATACGAATGAAAAATTCATCACTACAAGAAAATTAGAAATATATTTTTACTGTCAGATCTGACAGTAAAAATAATTTTAATTCAATCTTTGAAGATCTAGATAAAATTATTTAAATTTTTTTTCTTAAAAAGACTTAAGTACTTTTTTTCACTAATTATCTTTGGTTAGAAGGTATTTTTTTTAGTTTAACAGTTTGGATCAACTCATTAATCTTTCATTAGTAACGGTATTATCCGTAAGATTTTATAATATGAAATAAAAAGGGAGAGATTATAATATTTGAAGGAATATTGTATATCGTTATATGTGAACTGCTTAATAATACAGTATCATTTTATTGTTTTACAATATTTAGTTTATTGACTTTTTTTTAATAAAATTACTTATGCGAAAATATGAATTTTTAATAGTTTTAAGTAGACTTATGATGGGAGTTCGTCTAAATACGTGAACGATTACACATTTTTTTTACCAAAGTACTGATATAATTATTAAAATACATTTTGTTAGATACTTTTACGTAACAAAATCACGTTTCATTATTAGCTGAACGTACTAACGCCTTGAGGACTATATAAATATTTAAAATTTAAACGAGAAACGAAATAGTGATTAGAAAATGAAATACACATTTTTATCTAATATAACTGAAGTAAAGCTTAAACTGCAAATAATTTTCCGAGATTTTTTGTTTTACAGTAAAATTTAATGTTAGATTATCTATAAGCCATGACAAATATAAATATAAAGTATCACAAAATTAAGTTGTAAGTAATTAATAATCATAATATTTGGTAATACACATTGTATAAGTATAACTGTTTTAATACGATGCACAATAAAAAAATATGACAATAAAAACTAAAGCGTTAAAATTCTAAGCTTATTTTGTTTGCAAAGTTATTTTAAACTAAAAATGTATAATAGTTTATGTTAATGCTTTAAAGCAAAAAAAAAATAAAATTAGAAATAAATAATAAATAAATTTATTTAATAAAATATGTTACTCTTACATATTTTATTGAAAAAATCAAATAAATTATAAATTATTATAATTAAATTGAGAATTTGACAATATAAAAAGTCTAATGGTTTTCAATATATTTTTTAACTTAGAATGATATTGTTTTATAGCAATTGATTTTAGTAAACAATCTTCATCATAATATTATACACTATAAAATTTTTAAACAAATCTTCTCGTAAACATTATAATTTAAAAACAATTTCATGCCATAAAATAAAATTGCAATGATTATATCAAATTAAATTTGCATAAAGCCTACAATATAGTTTAGAGTAAAAACATACTTAAATTTGGCTATTAACAAATAGAACTATGATTTTTAACAATTTTCTATTTAAATTATTTCAGTAATTTTTAAGAAATTTTAAGTATCTGATAGTATTTTCTTTAAATTATTTACAGTCTTAAAAAATCGTACATTATAATTTAAGTATCAGTATTATACAGTATTAATATTATATAACAATTAATATTGATATTAAAATAAAAATTCGTGACCTCATTACATACTTTTAGGATTTATAATACTTGGAATAATAATTTGATAAAAATTATACTTTTAACTCATTTTTATAATGCGATAGAATTTAAGTTGCAATTTTACGAAGGCACTTACAAATATTTCGTTTTCTTAGAACTTACATAACTTATAATTCAACGGAGACACTTATTTTTAAGTTAAAAAAAATATATATCATCCGTGAAATTTCCTTAAGTTTTTTTGTGTATCAATGCAAAACAAAGAACAAAAAAAAAAATTAAAAAAAAAAATTTAATTTAACAAAAACAAAAGTTATCACAAATATTTTACAGTTAAAACCAATTAATTAATTTCACATAAATGGTACATTACGTAAAATGATTGATTAACTCAACATACATAAAGCTTTAAAATTATAGTATTTAATACATGTAGAATAACTATATTTTAAGAAATATATTCTTATTAATAAGATTATGTTTCAAATATTAAATAAAATGGAAATTTTTAATGCTCCACTAAGGTAAGCGGTGAAGTTTTTAATTGTTAATTATTAAATATTAGTATTAATAAATTTCGATTTTAAATTTAATATGTTATCTACAATTGATTTTTTATATAAATCTTTATCATTTTGTATATTTTGTTTAAATTTACAATCTATACAAATTTTTACTTTTTATAAAATTATAAATAATAATCGACAAAATATATTGGTTAATGGTTTTGTATGTTGGAAATAAATTAAAGGTTAGTAGATATAAATTTTAATATTTAAAACGTAATTAAATTTTTTCATATTTTAGTTAAAATTTATTTTTTTTTTTTTAATATTTTCTTAATTAAATTTTCTATTAATGTGTATCAAAATGTTATTATACTTATTACAAGGGTTAAATAATCTAAAACCAATTAAGTGGATAAGGTTTTAGTAAATTATACAATATTAATGAATAATTTATATTTTTAACTAAAATAGTATCCATTAGTACACTATGATATCCTAAATTTTAGTTACTTAGCTAAATATGACAAATTATAAATAAAATAAAACTTTCTACTATCATTAAAATGTTTTTTGTTTAATAAATGATCATTAAAGTTTGAAAAATATTTAAGCTAGTGTAAAAATAAAATTAGCTATATACTAATTTTGTTTATAAATGAAATAAATATTTTTTATTTCATTTTCAATATTTAAGCCATAAAAGCTTCAATATTATACATTTAAATTGTTTAGAATTATCACTCGTATTAATTTATTTTCTATTACTATTTTTCGTGCCTAGTAAGCATTTCAAAATAATAAAAACATTTTATTTTAAAATAAAATATAATAGAATAAAATTGTATACTATATAAATTCAATAAGTATTTCTTAGTTTTACGATCGCTATACTACAAAAAAAAAACTGAAGTGAAATTATAAGTATTTACATGAACCATTGTATTCATATGTATGACTAAATTATGCAAATCCAAAGTAAAGATAATATTTATGTAAATAGAATGGCCAAGTTAAAAAAAATAATGTTGTGATCACGTGGGCTTACTTGACTATTCAAATGATATCCGACTGACAAAATTATTGAAGATTTTCTTAGTCAGCCATCACAATGTTTAACATAACTTTAACTTTAAGTATATAGGACTAAAAACACATAGTAATTCTAATTAAGAAAAACGAAATTTATGAATCTAAATAAAACAAAAGACGATTAACTCAACGAACTCGACTTATATTTTACGTGTCGGGTGACCGGAGCCGACAATTGATAACTGCAGTGGTATAGATTTCGTCTTCTGAGTACTCAGCATCCTGTGGTTTCTACCACCTCTCTCTTCTCCCTCCTTGACTAGTCTTGTCTTAGACGGTGTACACTACCCATTTGAATATTCGGAATGGTACGCTTACTCTACATTACTATTTAATGTGTACAACAAAATAATTAGTTCACAATACTCTCAAGGATTATAACAAAAATTTCATGACATTTCAAGGCGATTTTGTTTTCTGAACCTGACCAATCAGACCTTTGAATGCGTCCCATTCGTTAAACATTAGGCAGGGGCGTCGTTTCTCGAAATTTCATTCTTGGTAATGTAATGTTCACTTTATTAACTACGTCATAACATAACTAATTTCTAATAAATTGATTTAAATTTTATAGTTTTATTTAAAATAATAATATACAAAATAAATTGTAAGTAAATGATAAGCTAAAATCCACCCGTCAAATGCTTGATACGTAATTGAAAGCTAATTTTCTTTAACTGTTCATCATTAAAATTAAATTTTAATTCTTTGTTTCAGAATAATCAAAAGCCATCATCACATTTCGTCTCACATGTCTTGCTAATAACGAGAATTAGTATTGCCAAAAGCAGGAAACTCAATAAATTTAGTACTCATGTCCGAAAAAACGAGCCTACTTATTATCATAATTTTAAGAACGGAAATATGAGATCAGTTATTATAATATAATTAATTAAAAATTGCTACTGTAAACACATTAATTGACACTTGTTGACAAGAGGTTAGAAGATAACTAAGATTCCAGTCTACAGCGGCATCATGGCCGCTTCCACAAACGGATAAAACCGCATGTTAATGCGATCCGATGGGCAATAAAGTATTGTAAAAAACTGTAAACGAGGGAAGTTTAATATAAATTTTATATACGACTACTAACATTATTAAGAGTTGTGTTTCTTATTATTTAAGCGAAAAGAACCTGTTAGCTAAATTTATTGTCATATAAATGCGAAAAATGTAGTCGTAACACGTGTAATGCGTTAGTAATAATAAACACAGAAGTTTGCAAGAATTGGAATTTTAAAAAATAAAAGTAATATTGTACATAAAAGTATGATACTTTTGTTTGAAATTTAATAAATAATAATTTTTACATGTCATTGAGTAATCCTAACATTTAATAAGTGTTAGATTTATGTTTAACATTATTAATTTGAATTTGTCTTTTAACTCTTTAAACTGTTTCAATAATTAAAAAATAATTTCTTATTAATTATCAATTTTCTCCATCTAAAGAAATTTTACGTTCAATATATCCCTTGGTTAATTCTAATAGTGCATTAGTAATTAATCAATACGAGACAAAATTACGAATGTTTTAACTGAGCAAAAATTATAAACAAGCTCCTTTAAGGTAGAGATATTTTGACACACAATACAACATTTATATTTAATTAATTAAAAACAAGTTAAATCCAAATTTAGTCCACAATCTTTGTGTACTTCCAATCAGAAGTGTTTTTAAACTCTTAAGAATCAAATTTTTAATTTTTATTAAAACTAACTTTTACACCATAAAATTTATCTTATAATTAAAATATTATGAATGGAATATTTAAATTGCCTTAACGTATTATTTACACAACACAATGACTTAGTATGTAGCTAAAAATATCTATAAGTTAATATTTAAAATATGAATAAAAAAGTATTATTAAAACATTTCTCATTAATTTTAATGAATTATAGAAAATTATTACAACGTAGGATACAATCATATAAAATAAAAATTGAGTATTCTGATCACATACTTAAAAGCTGTGAAAGACACGTATCAAGAATGAACAGCATTCCATGTACATATAATTTTTTTTATACAAGTTAATATTGTATTATTCTCTCTGGTGATCTAAAAATGTATAGTCTCATTATTATTACTCATAACATACTATAATTTTTGCAAAATAAATGTTTTTTTCCTAGGCTAAAATATTTTTTTATAAACACAAGCTCTTATAAAAATATGATAGAAGAAATTTCCTCTATTTATTGGTATCAGTCTTCGAACCAAATAGTTTTTATTACTATAGTAACAATGTAGACATAATTGATTAAACAGAAGAAGTGCATTTATTATTTCTTTAAACATAGATAAAAGGGGCATAAGAAAAATTTCATATGTAACGAACTTAAATAAATTTGTTTTCAAGTTTTATTTTTACAAACAAAGTTTTAGTACTAGGTAATTATATTTTATTTTTTTAGCAATAATATTTACTTTTAGTTTAATTTTTAATATGATTATTTCACATAATAACTGTTATCTAATACAACAAATATTTTTGTAAGATAACTTTATTATTAAGCCAAAATCTAAAACTAGAATAGTATTAGTAGAATTATTACTAGAATAATAAAATTTATTCATTTATTTTATTTTAATTCCTACTATAATTAAAATACCACCATCTCAAACATTAAATAATTTTATTTTATTAAAATTAATTAATTTAATTTATCAGTTTCTTTTATACTTACTATAAAACTTTTTTACACTATTTTCCTTTTAACTAGAATTAAAATATGCATTGTTAAATACCATACATAAAATCCTGTCCGAGTTCATAAAAAAATGTATTTATACATAGTAAAGTTTATATAATTATATTTTTTCTTTTCTATGTTTATAATATTTTTTAGGTTATTTTTAATGAAAACCCACTTTTCAGTGAAATTGATATTATACTCATTAAACCTTCGAAAAAAATACTTATATTAAAATATTTTAATGAAACTATAAATTTGAGGCATGGTAGAGCGAAATATTCTATGTACCTAAGTTGTAAATAATTTTCTCTCGTGCATAAGAAAATAAAAAAACTATTAGCAAGACATTGTTCACATAACAGTAAAATTATTTAAAGCAATGATTTCAAAAAATGATGATAGTAAAAATCTAGATTTAAACATTAATAATAAACAATCGTCACAACAAAATAATAATATAAATTTCTCGAGGTCGAATAAATTACTAGAAGGTAAAAATGTTTTTTATTTAATTAATCTCTTGTCTTAACTGCTATTTTATTATAAGATAAAGTAAAGTTTTTGGAAGATCTCACAGAAGAATTGGCATTAATTACTATACCTAAAACATTACAAGAGGAATTCGAGTGCGTGCCAAACAAACATGTGTTTATTGATAAACCATGGATTAAAATTTCACATAAAAAGGCAATAGATAATATAAAAATGTTGGAAGAATGTTCATGTTTCTGGCCACATCGAAAAAATCTTGAAGTAATTGTTTATATCAAATTCAACTAAAAAAAAAAGTACTAAGTAACTGAGATCTATCTGACAGCTAACCCAATTATTATTTCACTATAATTATTTTTTATCAGCTCTTGCTGATTTTGAAATTTTGTTTAATTCATATTTTTCTATTTTTTAAATCATATTTATTTCAAATAAAAAATTTAATTAATCCTTTTTTTTTTTTTTTTTTTTTAATATCAAAATAAGCATTTTTGTGCAAATTTTTACGAAAAATTTTGATGATTTGATAACATTTTTAGTTCAAATACTTATTATTTTTCTAACATTTTAATACATAGGGTAGGTACAGCCAGATTTGGTGTATGATTGTCAGTAAGTAAGGAAACAGGTCAATTTTTATAAACAATGAAAACAATAGAAACCCGTTTCCTTACTTACTGATCAACCTATATATTAAAATGCTTAATTCATATATTTTTTTTAATTTTAAAAAACGTTTTACTACAAATATCTTTGATAAGTCTATTTTTGATCAATAACTTACAAGCATTTTAATGATTACTATATAGTGACTATCTTATTTTAATAAGATGCTGGTTAAATTATTTTTGTCATTTTGTATTTCTCTGCCACTCTACTTCTCCCACACAGGTATGAAAATATTCATTACTCCTGAACTGGTTCAAAAGTTGTTATCGATCAGTCATTTCCTTATAACTATTCAAAATTCAAGATATAAATACTACCTTTAATAAATAGTATTATATAGTTTTAAAAATAATTTAATGTAAATTTTTATTTGCAAGTACAGAAAATTCAATCTGAATATATACTGATTGGTTATAAACCTTTTGAAACGAATGATGAGTTTTTAATTTGCACTACTGACCACATTAGAGTACATATTGAGAATAGCCACTTAAAAACAAAGTCAAATCATAAAACTGTAATAGAATCTAAATTATACGGTTCTTGGGAATCAGATGAAATTGAAAATGATTCAAAAGAAATAAAAATAATACACCGACAAAAAGTAATTTAAGTTTAGATAATATAAGTTAATTATTACCTATGTAAGAGGAAGAAGAATACTTCCATGACCCTTTGTCAGTCGTAAGAGGCTATTAATGAGGTTGGGCCAGGTTGACAGCCGGCGTAAAATTTTGTCAAAAAGTATGAGGAGTCCAGAACAAAACTTAGGTGGATATCCCCATCTCGGATGTACGTGTAGACAACAAGTGAGAGGATATAAAGTAGTTAAAAACGAAGAAGGCTTAAGGAATAAAGTGTTTGATACTAATCGGACAACTTGTGCGGTAGAAGTTTCATTAAAATGGCATAGTGATATTAATGGATAAGGAAATGAAAAATAAAGTAGTAGAAGTAAATAGGAAGTTATAGAATTATAATCGTGAAATTAATTTTCGAGGAAAGTATTAAATGTAATAAGTGTCTATACATCAAAAGTAAGACGTGATGATATAGACAAGGAATTGTTATGGAAAGAGTTGAATTAGGTGATGCAAGGAATTACTAGTAATGAGGATGCGGTGATAGGTGAAGATATGAATGAACTTATAGGTAATGAAAGAAGAGGATATTAAAAATTACATGAAGGGTCTGGTTTTAGTGGGAAGAATAAGGCTGAGGAAATCTGGATTTCTGAATCTTAGATTTCGCAGTATCATATGATCTTGCTGTGGTTAATACTTATTTTAAAAAGTGGGAAGAACATTATATAACTTATAAGAGTGGGAGTAATATATCATAGATTGATTATTTTATGTGGAGTAGAGAGACGTAAAGCGAGTAAAAGATTGTAAAGTTGTCTCAGGCAAGGATTTAACTTCAAAACGTAGACTGATGGTAATGGAGTTGTAGTGTAGTGAGAAGAGAGTATACAAAAACAAAAAGAATATAGGAAGAGAATCGAGAATCTGGTGGTGGAAATTGAAAGGGTAAAAAGAAAAAGATCTTAAAGATGGTCAAAGAGAGGACGGTGTGGAGGGGAAGACATAATTAATTTGTGGAATAGATTTTCTGGTTGTGTAAAGAATATTTCAAAAGAGATTGTTAGTAAGAGTAGGAGTAGAAAAAAAATTCTTAATTATAATTGAATAATTTTTTAATTATATCTTAATTAAAATTATAGATTACTTATAAGTGGAAACTTCCAATAGAACGATTGAATTCTAATGTTAGATTTAGTGATTCGATACCGACGTCATTCAGGGAAGAGCATGTAAAACTAGAACCTGAATCAAAAAATAAATTAAAAAATGAAAGTTATTCAAAAGCAGATGTTGCAGTTCAGGTAGTAATTTGTTGATTAATAGATATTATGATTAATTGTAAATATTAATCATTAAAAACGTAATTAACTAAGTAAATTTTTAGTCTGTTAATGAAATGATTAGTAAAGATATGCAAACAATACCCAGAATTAAAGATAATAAATGTATACAATCTGTAGTAATAGAGGAAGACATTTTTCAACCACAACTATTGACTCAACCAAATAAAAATTTAGAAGAATTTTTGAAAATTCACGTCCCCAAGTATATTATAGAACTTAATTTTTAACTATTTAAATTATTTTGATTTTTGTATGTTAGTATAGAATCAGAGTTGCATTATAATGAACTGTATGATTTATATCGCGATGACTACAACAAATTATCAAACAAATCCAAAGAATCTGAAAAACAAAGGTCTTTTGTTTTAAATGACCATACAGAATATCGAAATACAACAAATTCTAAATATGTGTCTTGTATTTCATGGCATCCTTCAATGCCGGGTAAAATTGTACTTTAAAAATTATATCACCATTTACTCTTCTTTTTATATTTAGGTATTTTCGCTGTGTCCTACATGAATTCTAGTATCGCTTTATATAAATCAATAAACTTACAAGAAATGTTTAATAAACCAACAATTGAATCAATTAATGAAAATAAATCATACGGTATTGTGTATTATAATGAAAAAAATGATGATAAATCTATGATGAGCCAAATGGAATCAGGACTGATAGAAGAAAATTTTGATGAAAAACTTCAGACTTTTTTAAGTCGAGAATTTGTACAAGTTAGTTTTTAAGATAAAATATATAATGATTATATGAAATTATTTATATGCATAATTTTGTTTAATTGTTCCAAACTTATTATTTTTAATATTTATAAATAATATTTTTAAGAGAATGAAAGTTCCTCAAATAATTGACGATGAGAATGTAGAAGAATGTACTCATAAAAGTATATACGAATTACGCAAGACATTCGAATATAACAATGATAAAGATAATGTCACTATATCATCTTCAAGTAGTTTGAAACCTGAAACCTACTCTAAAAAAACAGAATTAGGTTGTATTTCAGTTGGGTCTTTAAATTCGCCCACGCAGATCTCACAAAGAAATGACGTCCATGAGAACACAAAATTAGGGATTGATCTACCAGATTTGATGAAATGCAACGATGCTTTTGAACAATGGGATGAATTTATGTTAAACATGGAAAATAAAAATAATATTAGGGACAAAGACAAAGTTAATCAATTGGAATTAATAGATGAATCTATACCTAACGATGTCAATATAATAGAGGAGGATAAAGTTGATCATCACAAATCAGACACAGAAAATTTTTATAATAGCTGTGACAAAGATGTACATAAGACAAACAGAAACAATTTCGGAAATATCGTGAGAAAACTCCATAGGTATTTTTACAATTGTATATACTTTTAATTGAAAAAATAAAAATATATACAAAATGAGCGACAAGGATATAACTAACTAAATAATTTTCAATACAATTGTCGTCAGTTTTAAATCAATAACATAATATATAGAGTAAAATAAAATTATACAAGAAGTCCTACTGTGTTCTGATATCTTTAATAATTTTTGTACAAATATTATTTCGTTTAAATTTTTTTAAAAATAATTATTGCTTAGACAACTTCAAGCATATTTTTTATGTTGCATACTATTAATCAACAAAAATAAAAGTATTATTTCAAAATATTAAAATAAAAATTGTTCAACTTCTTTTTACACAAAATTATGATAGGTTGTTAATAATTTTAGGACAAATTTGAGTTATACAAATTTTGAATACGTATGTAGGACATCAGGAGTATAAATTATAAATAGAGAATTATCGGTTTATCATAAACCACGCAATTACCCGCAAAATAAATACATTAATGGACTAATTTAAAATAAAAATAAATAATTTTTGTTTTTTTTTTAGTTACGTATATTTCTAGATTTTTTAGTTATGAATTACTTTACACGAACATGGCAATGTACATAATTTATTAGCTTATTTAATAGATAATGATGTAAATAAGAAAATTACTGGTTGAAAATAACTTTAAAACCAGCATTTCAGAAGTTATTAAGAATTTAATGTTATAACTGGAAATGAGGAGTGGGTGCACCTATTTTTAATTGTGTTATTGAAAAAAAATTTCTAAAGACTGGTCCAAAAATTGTTATTGATCAATCATTTTATTAATTAGGTATTGCTATTTGAAAATATTAAGTTCAACACACTTATAAGGCATTAGAAATTAGATACTTATTATCTGTATTATAATTTTTACAATATTAAATTAAATAAATTAAAATTAATACAATCTAAGATTTTTGATCAGAATTCTTTCACTATAACATATATCGACACACTATATGTAATTAACAACTTGTAATAAATTAAATCATATTTTGCGTAGAAATTTAAATAAAATAAAAGATTGTGAAGCGGTAGAAGAAAAATTACTTCAAATTTTGACTTTTGAACCTATGATCGAAGAAAAGGAACATAAGTATGTTCATTATTTTCAGATTTCTAAAAACGTTAGAATATTGATAGACGCTAGAAATTCAAATAATTTTTTAGAAAAACAAGTCCATTAAAAGGAAAAAATAATAATAAAAAAGAATCTAAACATTTTAATGAGAGAGATGAAATAATAACTACTAATGTATTATCAGAAAACCATAAATATTTATCAAAAAACGAACAAAACTTTTTTGTTGTTATTTGGTCAATAAATGATAGTATAAATCCCAAGGTAAAGAAACATTATAATTTTTACATTCGTATTGACTTTTTTTAATTGTTATGGTATTTTTTAGTTATATTTACATAGTATAGAAGAAGTATGTTGTATACAATTTAATCCTAGACATGGTAATACAGTAGTGGGAGGATTAATAAATGGTCAAATAGCTATATGGGATATAACGGGAAAATTAGAAAATTTCAATTCCCAAGACACGAATACATCAACTGATAAAGAAAAATATTGTAATCATCTTGTAGGTCTAAAAAATATTTATTTAATATAATAACTAATTTAATAAATGTTAATATTGTAGTGGAATCATATGAACTGGACTTCAAACGTAAATTTTAGTTCAAGAATCAATCCATCAGCCTTAAGCTCATCAATATATTCACATACAGAAATGGTAACAGCAATTCAGTGGCTTCATCCAATGACCGAGGTTAAATGCTTCTTATTTTTAACAATTATTAAAATTAAATACTATCTAAAGATTTGCATCGAAGCGTTTTATTTTGATAGTGATTTTAATCACTATCAGATATCATTATACTTGATCCAACTATGCTACGTCACCACTGTGCCGCGACCCACCTGTGCTGGGTTTTTTTTTAAATAAAACCGTATAAATCTTTTAAATGCCTAAATACTCACTAAACTTTCACATCACTTTTGTATGATAAGCAATTATATAGATGAGAGGGGTTATTTTATTACACTAAAAAAAAATATTGTGGTAAACCAACAAATGCATTATCAATTTGCAAATATTTAATTATTTCAATTGCACTACAAAAATGTTGTCTAAAAATTCACAACATGCCGAATTTTCTGAATAAGTTATTGTTGTAGTTTTAACATTGAAAATAAAATTGTATCATCTAATAATTAAATATTTAGTATCAAAACTATCTTATCTCATGACCTCATTCCAGAAAGTGTAATGTAAAATGATAAAAAAAAAATGTTTAAATGATGTAAAAACATAATAACTGTCATAACTTTTTCAAAAATGAACAAATCAAAATAGTTTTTTTTTATTTCCCTTTTATTTGTTATAAATTATTTGAAAAACTGACTATTTACATGCCTACAGGGGGATTCAAAATAGCAACTTTTTCACAAAAGTCAATTTTTTCAACCTAATTTTTGAAAATGTTACAGAATACCGAGTCCATTAAACATATGTTAAATTATAGCTTATGTTACACACTATAAATAAAAAAAATATTTGTCCCGACAACTTATCTTCTATGTACAAATGGATACCGTAGTTAAAAATATGCTATTTTTGTATTAAAAAGGAGTACATATAAAGTATATGTACTCCTTTCATTCAACATATTTTTTTTAATTGGACAACTTCCCCTTATATTAGGGCGTTCAAAATTTGAAACATATGTATAAAAACCTAGCACGGGGGGGTCGCGGCACAGTGGTGACGTGGCATAGTTGGATCAAGTATAATGATATCTGATAGTGATTAAAATCACTATCAAAATAAAACACTTCGATGCAAATCTTTAGATAGTGTTTAATTTTAAAAAATTGGTGTATTATTCCAAAAGCTACATGATCTGCTAGTTCCTTATTAATATCCCGATTAAGATAAAGTATATCGAATGAAAAAGGGATTATTAGAAAATATTATTTCTCATAAAAAAATTATGTTGATCCATACACTTTTCAATAAGTTATAGCATTATAATGTTAAAAATGTAAAAAATAAAATCGAGAATTTACACACAAAAATAGCATTCGGTAGCCATTTTCACAACGAAGACAAAATAAAAACCGAAATTTTTTTTTCATAATAAAGTACTTTACATTATCTTTACTTTAAGATATATATAAAAGTGTCAGACCTTCCGGAACATTTTCAAAAGTTAAGTTAATTAATTGTATTGATCCATCCATTTTTTAAAAAGTTATAGCATAATAAAGTTAAAAATGTAAAATACAAAATAGAGAATTTTCACACAAAAATAGCATTTGGTAGCCATTTTCACCACGAAGACAAAATAAAAACCGAAATTTTTTTTTTCATAATAAAGTACATTACATTAGCTTTAATTTAAGATATATATAAAAGTGTCAGACCTTCCAGAACATTTTCAAAAGTTAAGTTGAAAAAGTTAATTTTTTTTGAAAAAGTTGTCTTTTTAATTCCCCCTCTGTGGGCAGGTAAAGGGTTAAATTTAGGAAAAAAATTTACTAAATGATAGGTAAAGACATCAAGCATCTATAAAAAAAAATTATATTGATTTGTTCAATTTTGAAAAAGTAATGGCAGTTTTTAGTAAAAAAAATTGAAAAAATTTCGAAAATTAACGATTTTTAAATTTGTAATTTTTTTGGAGGTTTCCCCGATTTACGGGGAATGAGGGAAATTTTTTCAATTTTTGAGCGTAATGTCTTCGACTAGATACGATTTGTGATCTTTTAACGTATCGTTAAAAGAAATCCGTTCAGAGAGAGCTGAGAAAAAGTGGTAACAGACACAAAAAAAAAAAACACATCATAGTAAAACCAATACCTTCTCAGCTTTGCATCGAAGCTAAAAGTAGAATTTTTTCTACTTTTTTTTTTCTATTTTTTTAACTTTTGAAAATGTTCTGTAATTTCTGCGTCCTTTAAATATATGTTAAATTAAAGCTTATATTTCGTACGGACCGACTTTGTTTATGTATGCATCAAAAAAACCTGAATTATTTATTAATTACAATTAAGTTGAACCTATGAGTACTAAAATTTTGAAAAAGCATCTTTAATTTAGAACTTTAAAATTAGGCTACATAAAATATGGCCTTATCAAACATATTTTTTTAAATTTTAACACTACTTAAACTTTTTTTAAGAACACTAATCATAATAAAATTTTAACAAAGTAAACTAATAGCAATAAGCTTTTTGTTGGAATACTTTGTATAAAATCTAATACAAGAGGTTAGAAAGAAAACACCTATAGATGTATAAAAACAATTTTTAACTCAATTTTTGAAAATGTTAGACAAATTTTAACCTATACCAAATTAAAGTTTTTAAGTGTATTACAATATTAAAAAAGTATTCCACAATTGTATTTCTATGTGAAATCAACCGCCAAATTCATTCTTAATTTTTACAAAAAAAAAATACTTTAGTTTCATTTGAATATATTTTTTACCAATTTTTGTATGAAATTTTAAAACATAGAAATTGTGAATTATAAAAAGTTATTTTTAAATCGTTTCCATAATTATTAATCTACAAATAGATGACACAAGTTGGAAAATTAGTTACCTTGGAAAATGCTAATACATATTCCGATCAATTTTTCACTGCTTCAATGGATGGGACAATCAAGTTATGGAATTTACAATCTACTTCAACATTAAATGAAAATATAAAATTTACAAATAATACACAATTTTACAATAGCTTTCCAGAGTGTCTAAATAAATATAGATCACCATTAAACATTTATAATAATCGTTTGCAACCTTCATATACGGTATGAATATATTTAAAAACTTTTCAATTAATAAATTCTACTTGAAACAACATGGGTTAAATATTTTAGATTAAAGTTCTTGAACCTGGAAATAGCTTAGTTAGCCCAATAACAGCATTTTCATTTGAAATTCCATTGATGAAATATAATTTTGAATCTGATCTTCCTCTGACAATTGGGAAACGACAATTCGTGTTTGGTACTTATGTTTATAGTATATTCATTTATATTTATAGTATATATATTATATCATAATTATAATATGATAGATCATTTTAATTATTAATCATTAATTTTATAAATACTATGTAATGAAAGCATTAAAAATAATAATAATAATAATTAAATTTAGTTCCAATGCAGCCAAAGAATCCAAATAAAATCATAGTAGTTGGTAGTTCGATGGGCCAAATAGGCGTCATAACATGGAATGGTATTGAAACTTTCCAACAACTTCAAAATCAAGAAGGTAACTTGCATATTAAATAATAAAACTCTAGTGTAATAGTTTTATATTATAATTTTTCTAAAAAAAATGTTTGTACAGAGAGCAAAACCATTTGGTGGGGATACGTGCATGATGGACCCATAAATTGCATCAAAAGAAATCCATTTTTCCCTGATATCCATTTAATCTGCGGAGGTCATGTTGTATCAATTTGGAATTTAAATTATAATGTAATTTTTTCATTTTATTAGCCTTATTTCTTTATTTATAAATATTATATACGTGCATAGACTTTTGGCAAATACCTACACTGGCTCACATTGCTATCTTAATTACCCATTTTACAAAAAAATTTATTTCATTTATTAAATATTATATTAATGTCATATTAATCTCAAATAATCTTCCCTAAATATTTCAGAATAAGTAAATACCCTCTCTAATATTTCCTTCTTCCTTACAGGTAGAAGTATTGCTAGAAAATGTTGCTTTATCTTACATTTGACATTTTACACAACAAATACTAACAATTAATAAAGTTCATAATAATTATAGTAATAAATTAAATAAAGCTTCATATTAGTACTAGATAAGGATTATACTTAATACTTAATGAAAGTATTGAAAAATATCAATCATTTTTAACATTTAATATATATATATATATATATATATATATATATATATATATATATATATATATGTGTGTATATTTTTATAATATTTAACTTTTATTTATTGTGATGGACCGCTAAGGCTTGATAAGTTGTTAGGTCTATAAAAAGTTATATTAAATTTAATTTTTTTAAGTTCGGCTACGTTTTAATCCAATATTGTTAGGGAATTTTTTAAGGTAGAATCAACACTTGGACGGCTACTGTTGACTCAAACAAACCACTTAACACACACAGATTAGTTGGGGACAGCAAAAGCACCATTTGCTGCATCTGTGTGCATGCCTATGATAAAATTCATCATTTTTTTTTTTTTGTAAATGAATAGTAATGCAATACCTATAACTTTAACACACGGCGACAATTTTTAAAAATCAACAACAAAATATTCAGTATAAATGTATCATATAAATATTTAATAACTGGAATATTGGTTTAATTAGTAATTTTATTACAAAAAATAATACATTGAAAACATTTATAGAGTGGTCCATTATGGTGGAAGCGTTTCCAAGAACTCACTACAAGTGGTTTATGGTCAAGCAGTCATGCCGGAGAGTTTAGAGTATCTTTTAATAATGGCTTGATTGAATTTTGGGATTTTTTGATATATTCTCATAAACCTTGTTTCACAACTGAAATACTTAGTGATGGTTACATTACAAGTATGTATCTTTCATTTTAAATTATTCCATTAATTTAAGGCCATGTAGTGATATACTCATAATTTTCAATTAAGAGGAAACCAGTACCCAAAAAATAATTTAGTAATCTTTTTGAGGTATTTTTCAATAATGTTGATTTATCAATGTGAGAAAATCAGTCCTTTAATTCCTTCTGGATACATCACTAAAGTCACATATCCTTGATTCTCACTTCTTTTAAAACAATGTAAAAAAAGTTAAAATTTTGATTATTTTTTAGCATTATCCAACCCTTATTCGGTTGTCCATTTTCTTGGAATGAAAAAATTCGGAAGTCCAAACGAGGACAACAAAGTTATAGATTTTGTAAGAAATGAAATTATCTGCTTTTCCGATTCCGATGGAATTATAAAACTTTTTAATATGAAAGTCCCCAAGTTAAATCTTAAAGAAATACAAAAAGTAGGCCAGTTTTTTTATAAAGAAGTTTCCAGACGAAGTGAATTAGATACATGGAATAAGAAGTATAAAGAAAAATTGGAAAATAAGGATACTGAAAATATTATCAAAAATTTAGTAAAAATAGAATCACAGCCAGAAGATTATATTAATAATATAAGTGTTTCTACTCCAGAGCATATCAAAAGAAAAATTTGTGATGAATTGTTTAAGTAATATACCAATGCATATAATTTTAATTATATTTCTATTATTTTTAAATATATATGATAACTAATACATTAGTTCTTCATATCAGATGGTATTGTAATCGAAGAGGTTCACAAACCCGTTTGAAAAAAATGAAAGACATATTTGTCACCCGTGAACGACGTTACTTTTTACAAATTATGATGAAGAAAAAAAATGTCAGTAAAAAACAATTAAAGGAGTATATAAATCCAAATTCAAAGGAGACAAAAGTAAAACCAAGTACTTATGATGACATGGAAAAAATAAGATCGGAAGCCGATAAAAAATTTAGAGATATTGTTAACAAATTACTTCTCCCAGGTTCAGGCAATAATTTGGTAAATTATTAGTTTACGTTTAAAACATCAAATTATATTTAAAGTTATGTTAATTAGTTAGTCGAAAAAAGGTTAGGTATTTGTAGAACTAACGGAATTGGAGGTTTAGCCTCCCTCCAAAATTTTAAAACATTATATTTTTATATGAAGACATATTATAGAATGAAGAAAAGTATTAAAATATGTCATTAACACTCCAAATTTTTTATTCTACCCCGCCAATGGTTTATAGAAAAGTTTAAATAATTTAAATCAAATTAAAGATTTTATCAGGTTTTACTTAAAAACATCCATCTTGAGTAACCAAAATATATTGGGCCAATCTTAATAAAATTATTTAAGTAAATTTTTTTTTAATATATAATTAAAAACTGTAAATAATATTAAATAAGAAATTAATAATAAATGTACAATAAGATTATTTAAACATACTAACTACTCTAATAGTTAAAATATTTAATAGTAGTTATTACTTTATATATATTATAGGAATGTGCAAATAATATTTATTTAAAAGATAATTCTTACAAAATTAAAAATACACTCGAAGAAATTAAAAAACTACTGAACACTAATTACGAAGAAGAAAAATCGAAATTAAAAAAGTTTATACTAAATATTTCTAATCCTATACAAGAAAATTGGTCTAAGATGATAGATGATGCAGATAATGATATAAGAAGTACATTGAATAATCCAACACTTCTAAAAACTTCAGCGTTGCGGTAAATTATATAAAAAAATTTTAATGAAATAATGTAGGTCAAACAATAAAAAAACATAAGTAATTAAACAAACCATTCTTAATCAGTACTATTTCTTACATAAAAAAGATCCATCTATTTTACTATAGTAGTAAAAATAAAAATTACCTTCTATAACTAAATATATAAATAACTAAATTAAATGAATCATAAAAATATTTAATAGTTTTAATGATGCAATTTAGTTAACTTGTTATTAAAATTTTAAATAAAATTTTTTCAAAACTATACTTGTTTTAGATGAACAATTCTATAATTATTAATAAAATGTTTTCCAATTTATTTTTAGAAAAATGTATCAAAAATTATCAAAACATTATATTGATGAAGGTTTTGAAGTTAAAGAGTTGATGAGTCGTAAAGAAAAACATAAGGATGATCGATTTAAAATTCGAGAAAAACATATTAAACATTTAAAAGAAGTATATGGTAAAAACTATGACATTTACTGGGACAAGAATAAAACTTATTACCAAATGGAAGAAGCCCAAAAGATGCGATTAAATATAAATTTAACTGAGGACTCTTGTATAAAGAAATGATGAAACGGTAATTTTATTAAAACTTTTCTGAATTTAATACAATATATTAAAATTTAAAATGAAATTTATACAATTTCTAATAACATTATTTCGTATAGTAAAAAATAATCAATAATTTTTATTTTAGATTAAATATAAATCTCAGATAAGTAATTAATTTTAAACTGATGTTGAAAGCAATTATCAAATAAACAAAATATTTGATGAAAATTTGAATAAATAAAAAAACAATATTAATTTTTAAGTTGGTAATTTTGACTATTATTTATATTAAATGAATAATTTTACTTCTATGATATATTGATTTACACCAATATTGAACTGACATGCACAGAAATAATTTTTGTAATAGACACTCAAATTATACACAGAATTTATTATAGAAATATGAAATAAAATTAATAATCCATTTTTCAATAAATATCAAGAGAGAGAGTTTTAATTTAAATGAAATCTAAAATTTTAGATTTACATATAAGTGTTATGAAAATTTATTTATTTTTATTAAAAAAAATATTAAGATTATTTACATACATTTAATTATATACATTATTTATAGAGAAAAAGTAAAACTTCAATAAACGTTTTAATATTTTTTATTACACAGATAATTTTAATTTCCAAAAAATATCTTAAACAAACAAAATATAACAAAAAGTTAATAGAAAAAAAAAAATTGCAAAGTTAAAAATAATACTTGATTATTTATCCTTTGCTTTTATACCATTATGTTTTTAAAATTCTTATCAGTTTCATAGAATTTGAATAGAAATTACTTGGTTTCATCTTTTTCTTTATATTGCACTACTCCTCGTTGAATCAACTCTGGAATTTCAACAGCTAACCAAGGTCCTAACTGTAAAACATAAATGAGCTTAGAAAATAACTATTAAAATTTCAAATCATTATTATATATTTGAATATTGATATAAATTACAATTCAATATTTTTAAATTAAATACTCAATCAAGTAAGTATTAAACAGTATTACTAAATTGTACCAAAATTATAAATTCTAGAGCCAAGACTGGAGTAAAAAATAAGCTCTTATTTGCTATTACAGAACCACACCATATTTTTATAGATATATGGTGTATTCATAAAAAAAGAAGTAACTCATCATAAATTTTCTTAGCTCACTTCAATATTGTACATTACTCTCTGCGAGGGACTTCTCATATATTCAAATTCTAGACTCAATGAATCATTAATAAAAAAAAATCTTACACCAAGAGCTAAAGCATGAGAGATACCAAATTTTGGTACATTTCTAGCCCAAAGGGGTTTAAAATGATCCGATAAACAAATTTTTCCTCCTCTATACATTTTGGCTGTTTTCCCATCTAATTCTGGTAATGCGATCTCAGGAGCAGTTGTAGGAAATGTCACAGGAATCTGAAATACATATTTAATATGATATATTTGCATAATAAATATATTGTACTACTATACATCAAATTCAATGTCAAATTCATATTTTAACTGATCATGAAAAACCCAGCATTTTCCAAACCATTTAGTGCCTTCTTTGTTAGATTCTAATCTGAACCAATCATTATCAGCTGCTTTGTTATTTTGTACATACTGAAAAATTTAGAAAAATATTATTAAATACTGAATAAAAATATATTATTAAATATATTAAATATTCAAATCAAAATATCACACTTGAATAAGTGATTGATACTCTTCCTTTAACCTTTGAGGCCATAAATCAACATCTCGAGGCCCAGCTTTTGTTTTTAATAATGGTATAGATTTTAACGTTTGTTTGGTTTGATCCATTTTCTATTATATATGATTATAAAAACGAATATAAAACATTCATTTAAAATAGTAATCAAAAGTAAATATTTTAATATGCTAACAGGTTCTTATCATTTTACACGTTGTACTATTATCTTAGATAGCGATTTAATACTAAATTGTTGGCATCAAAACATTGTTATGCCTGTAGCTGCGCTCTACCAATATGTCAATTTATATATTAGTTATAAAATATGTTGATAGATGTCACTCATAGTTTAACAAATATTTTTTATAGTTTATATTGATGTTCAGTAAGTAAGGAAACAGTTAAATTGTTACAAACAATAAGAACAATAGAAACCCGTGTCCTTACTTACTGAACACTCTATATATAGATATAGATTGAATGTGTAACACATCCACATAAAGTGTACAAAACTAACATTTATGAGTCTATAGTTTTTTTTTAAATTGTGTTACATATGCAAAAAAATTATAAAAGTAGTATTTTAATTAATGAAACTATGTTAATATGAAAATGATCTAAATTAAACACTCTAAATTTAAAATACTCATTGATTATACTGAATTTGATTATTCATCAAATTCAGTTCCGTTTAAGAACTGAAGTCCGTTCAGCCAATAAAAAGTATATTTTGAATTCTAGTACATCTATTACGCCGGTAAAAATATATTATGTATAATACATTTTTAATGTTTTAAAAATAAAAAGTAAAAATGTAAAAATCACCTTCAATAAAACACTTATCTAATCCTCTATTGAAAATAAATAAATTAAGCATCGGTAAATCAATCATAAAATATTATTTCGCTTTAAGTTTAAAGCTTTATAGTATATACAATTTTAAACAATCAGATTCCTTAAAAAACACATATACTTAAATATTGGTGTACTATGTGATTTTAAGACAATATTATTATACATATTAAAAAGTAAACTTAATTATTTTATATTTTATTGTACCTAATATAACGTTCAAGGAATATAACTAACACGAAAGACTTTAAAATAACGTAGAACTACTGACTACAACTATTTTCTCTTTAAACTCTTAAATTATGAAATTGGTGACCCTTTTATATTGAGCTTATTGGATTTTAAATTAACTAACCACAACATTCGAAATAACACATTTATTTTAAATTTAACAGTTTTTCTAAAATTACATGTTAAGTCACCCAATTAATATTATCTGCATTATCTATTTAAGTAAACTTATTATCTCTCTCTATCTCTCTCTTATACTAAATTGTTTTATTGTTATTATATTTGTTTAATTGTAAATAATTTGACTATCTTTATGCTAGTTGTATTGGTATATATTTTTTTAATTTTATTGCTATCATTTATTCATAAATTAATATTTAAATATTTTTACCGAAATAAAATTTTTTCTCGTCTGTAAATGGTTCTAAATTTTAATTAAAAAGCCCTATAACATTAAAAATTAGTTTATATGGAATAATCAAAGTGCCGATACTATATATACATATATATATATATATTATTAAACCTATAGAAAAAAATCAAGTGACGCAATAGAACAAATATACTAATTAAAACCTAAATGTTTTCCTCAAGGTACCAAGACAGTGAAAGATAACACATTTTAGCTTCGATGCGAAGCTGAGAAGGTATTATTTTACTATTATGTGTTTTTTTCTTGTGTCTGTTACCACTTTTTCTCAGCTCTCACCGANTGTGTTTTTTTTTGTGTCTGTTACCACTTTTTCTCAGCTCTCACCGAACGGATTTCTTTCAACGATACGTCAAAAGATCACAAATCGTATCTAGTCGAAGACATTACCCTTCAAAATTGAAAAAATTTTCCTCGTTCCCCGTAAATGGGGGAAACCTCCAAAAAAATTACAAATTTAAAAATCGCTAATTTTCGAAATTTTTTCAATTTTTTTTACTAAAAACTGCCGTAACTTTTTCAAAAATGAACATATCAATATATATATTTTTTTTATAGATGCTTAATGTCTTTATCTATTATTTGGTATATTTTTTTTGTAAATTTGACCTTTTTTCTGCCTACAGGGGGGGATTTAAAATGACAACTTTTTCACAAAAAATTAACTTTTTCAACTTAACTTTTGAAAATGTTCCGGAAGGTCTGCCACTTTTATATAAATCTTAAATTAAAGCTAATGTAATGTACTATAATTTGAAAAAAAAAAATCTGACCTCTGGACTTGTCTTCATGGTGAAAACGGCTACCGAATGCTATTTTTGTGTGAAAATTTTCGATTTTATAATTTACATTTTTTACTTTAAAGTGCTATAACTTTTTAAAAAATGTATGGATCAATACAATTTTTTCATGAGAAGTAGTATTTATATACATCTTTCATTGGATATACTTTTTTTTTAAATCAGACTATTTCCCTATATATGGGGGGGCTTCAAATATAAAAAATGCATATAGAAAGTAGAACTTTTTCAACTTAACTTTTGAAAGTGTTCCGGAAGGTCTGACACTTTTATATATATCTTAAATTAAAGCTAATGTAATATACTTTAATTTGAAAAAAAAAAATTTAACCTCTCGACTTGTCTTCATGGTGAAAACGGCTACCGAATGCTATTTTTGTGTGAAAATTTTCGATTTTATAATTTACATTTTTTACTTTAAAGTGCTATAACTTTTTAAAAAATGTATGGATCAATACAATTTTTTCATGAGAAGTAGTATTTATATACATCTTTCATTGGATATACTTTTTTTTTAAATCAGACTATTTCCCTATATATGGGGGGGCTTCAAATATAAAAAATGCATATAGAAAGTAGAACTTTTTCAACTTAACTTTTGAAAGTGTTCCGGAAGGTCTGACACTTTTATATATATCTTAAATTAAAGCTAATGTAATATACTTTAATTTGAAAAAAAAAAATTTGACCTCTGGACTTTTCTTCACGGCGAAAATGGCTACCGAATGCTATTTTCGTGTGAAAATTCTCGATTTTATTATTCATATTATATTTAACTTTATAATGCTATAACTTATTGAAAAGTTTATGGATCCACACAATTTTTTTATGAGAAATAATATTTTTTAATAAACCCTTTTTCATTCGTCATACTTTATCTTAATCGAGATATTAAGGAACCAGCAGATCAAGTAGCTTTTGGAATAAAACACCAATTTTTTTAAAATTAAACACTATCTAAAGATTTGCATCGAAGCGTTTATTTGAGATAGTGATTTTAATCACTATCAGATATCATTATACTTGATCCAACTATGCCACGTCACCACTGTGCCGCGACCCCCCCGTGCTAGGTTTTTTTTACTATAAATTTTTATAAATCTTTATTTTTTTTATTAAAAACTTTACCTACCCACAGGGGGGATTTAAAATGACAACTTTTTCAAAAATTTAACTTTTGAAAGTGTTCTGGAAAGTCTTACACTCTTACATATATCTTAAATTAAAGCTAATGTAATTTTTTTTTTATGAAAAAAAAAAATTTCAGACTATATTTTGTCTTCACGGTAAAAATAGTTACCAAATGCTATTTTTGTATGAAAATTCTCGATTCTATTTTTTACATTTTTAACATTATAATGCTATAACTTATTGACAAGTGTATGGATCAACACAATTTTTATATTAGAAATAATATTTATATCCCTCTTTCATTCGACATACTTAATCCTAATCAGGATATATAAAGAAATAGCAAATCATTTAGCTTTTATAATAATCCACCGATTGTTTAAATTAAACATTATCTAAAGATTTGTATCGAAATGTTTTTTATGATTGTGATTTTAATCACTGTCAGATATCATTATACTTGACCCAACTATGGCACGTCACCACTGTGCCACGACCTCCCTGTTCTGGGTTACCTTACCTTTATGTTTTATTCTGTATGTTTTAAAATATTAATTTTGTAGGAACAAAAATGTAATACGGTTTACTTCCAATACCTATTCGAGTTTAAAATAGTTTTTTTTTAAATCTTAACAGCTAAGTAAACGGTTTGTGGTTTATTATTTATTACACTATTTTCATTTTCTGTACTGTTGTAAAGTTAACAAGTTTAAACAGCGGCATTCATAATTCTGCGTTAAGTATTCAAATATTAATTTGTTTGTGGCGCTCTGCTTCATACGAAACAGGTGAGTAACAGTATTGAATGTACAAATGTTACCAAACTTGTTGTGGAATTAAGGATTTATTTTATTTTAAATAATAACACAGCGGTTAAATTTATTTTAAATTAGTATTTAATAAGTCCGTACAAATATCACAATTATTTATTCTGTGAGGACGTCGAAGGGAAAATTAATATAAGATTCATCAGTGGCCGCTGGGCTGGGGACCGGTTCGCATCACCCGCGATCACTCGGCGCGCGCGACCAGTCGGACAAGGAGAGCTAGCTGTGTCGCAGCGCCATCCAGCGGTAAAGCCGGAAGTGCAATGCGACGCATCAAGCTAATGGTAAAATCTTATTATATAATAGAACAAGGAAAAAGACGCTTTTCTGGGAAAATTACTTAGTGTGCTCGGATTTCCAAAATTTTTTTTTTCAACAAAAGTACTCGGTTACCAGACTCCGGGAATATTATTGGCGAAGGTCGGAAAATTTTTGAAATTTTCACCAGACCCGCCCAATGACATTCCTGAGATATGATAAAAAAATCAATTCAATCCGTTCAATTTTCACCGTTTTACGAGATTTTCTTTTTTTTTCAAGTCCACGCGCATGGTTTTAATGTGCGCAGTGATTCATTTCTGCTCATACGTTGGGTTATGAACCTTAATTATATGGTGTAACTTGTATTATTATTATGACACTTTTTTGCATTTGCACTATATTTTATCAAGGAATAATATATGTTATATATAAATTTCAAGGCGTTATAATTATATAAGTTTTTACTTTCATTATCAGAACAGTACATTATTAATAATCTTTTTTTTCTCATGTATGATTTATCTATCATCTATGATAACTGTGCTGTTCAACGTTAACTCGCAATTACCAATATTTTTATCAAAATTAAATTTTTTACGATGTGCCATGTATAATAACCTGCTAATTTTTTTTTTAATTATTCTATAATATAAACACAATTATTATAATTAGATTATTAATAATTTTTGTGTATAATAGGGATGTATTTAAGAGAGATATGGCCCCCCCTTGAACCACGGCTATCAATATTTTTTAGGCAACTTCTAATATATAAGGACCTAATGTCCTTTTCTTTCATCATTACTTTAATTTTAGCAAAAAAATTTCTATAACATGTTTAACATATATATACTTTATTCCACTGATTCTGATGTAATATTTTTTCTGAAAAACACCTATCGTGCCCGGAGTAGCCGGGTACCCCTACCGGAATCAGTGGCCTACTTATGATGACGGCCCGAAGAGGCTTACGCGCCAAAGGTTCGAAAGACTCCGGGTCTGGGGCGGAGCCTAGTTATTAATAATAATAGATCAAATTTAATCGAAATCAAAAATTTTATCACAAAAATCTAATTTTGATTCATACTTATTCTTAAGTATTAAATAAAAGTTTATTTTTATTTTTAGGTGAAATTATTCTTTAAAACTAAACTTTTCAGTAGTATTGTAAGAAAAACTGTAATTAGTCGCTTCTTCAATCATTTAAGTTATACTTTTAAATTTTTTTATTTAATATTACGTAATCATAACTGTTTATTGAAAATTCAAAATGACCTATTATAATTACATCGTAGTCAGTTTAATAATATTTTGTACAATTACGAACACCGAAACAACGGCTAATTCATTAAGAGTTATACGAATCTTAAAAAATCTATTCAAGCATTCTGGATGGCAAAATTTAAATGACGTAAATAGTATAAAATACATGAATATTGAACATAAATTAAATAATGTTATTTGCAATCGAATCGATAGAAATAATTGTAATTCCCGAATTCGATTGGCAACTGTTTATCTGGGCTGTAATTATGCCAAATTTTTAAAAAAAATTATTTTGATACTTCAACATTTTCATACTCACTGTGAAGATTTAAAAGGTAAAAGTAATAGAGACGACTGCATTTTAAAACTTCTTAACACAATACATATAATAAGAAAAGAAACGCCAAAGTTAAGAGGCGCCATGGATCTATTGGACAGCTTTCGAAGTTTGCCACGGAATCATTCAAAAGAAACGTTTATTTTAATCCCTATAATAATATATTTAGAAAATAGTGAAATTCCCCTTCCTATACAGGATAATTTAACAGACACTAGTAAGTCACTTAATAAATTAAATGAATTAATATTAGAAATTAAAGCAAATCTAGATTTTGACATTTCAAAATATTGTAATATTACTTGTGTGTCTGATGATCTTATGTTACAGCAGCAATATAATATCGAAATCGAAAAAAACACTATAATAATAAATAATGAACGACTACTTTATAAATATTTCAGTAATAAAATAAATGATGAAATTCAAGTTACGATTAAAGAAAAATTTTACGATTTAGGATTCCAATATGACATTAAAACTGGCAAAACGACAATACCAATACATATTGACCTGAACTCTAGAGGAAGGTTTTGTAAAGGTAGATATTACAAAGGAAAATCATTCAGTAAACTTAAATTATTTAACCAATATAACACAAAATTATTAATTATGCATTTCATTATACTTAATATTAATTTATTTTATTTTATAATACGCATATAAATACTTTTATGTGTTATAGTTCTTCATAAACATGGTGTGTATCAAAAGACAGGTGATTTGGTTTCCCTTATAATTATTTAAGCTATACTAATTTATTGTAATTCAATTTATTTATAATAAGTATGATTTTATAGAAATATTACTCTTTATTTAGCTGTTTCTACGCAGTCAGTAGATAATTCTATTGAAAGTGAATCTAGCGAAGATGATGAAAAGGAATTTGACAATGAGAAATTGACAAAAAGTAATCATCAATATAAAAATTAAATATATTATTTACTCTTTTTACCATAATTTTTTAGAGTTAAAACGTATTGCCGAAAATCAAGATACTCAGTCTTCAACATTTATTGAATCACCAGAAAACCGAGTTTATTTTAATAAATATCTTGATTAATTATTGGTTCAACATTTTTATTAATCAGTTAATTTTTCTAATATCATATAATCTAAATATGATATTAATATATAACAAATTCAAGTTTATTCAGTTTTATGTGAAAGAGAAATAAATTAAAATACATATCTTTAAATATAAAATTACAGTAAATATAAAATTTTTGAAAATACATTTATTTTACTTTAAGTGCATAAAGATTTTTTATGTGTAAAAAGCAGGATTGAGATGCTTATGACATTTTGTTGTAAACTTCATAATTAAAACATCAAATTAATCAATCCATTTTGTTTAGATCATTTAAAACAATTATTTCAAACAACAAACACTTGAAAAAATCAAGTTTAAAACATATAAAAAAATTATTAAGAAAAGATAATATTATAACATTACAATCCTCTTTGAAACTATTACCGCTAATTTTTTAATTAAAAAAAAAAAAAAAACATTTTTTTCTATCTCAGAAAAATGTGGCCAAACCAGTACTCTTAAAAATGTCCGAATTTTCACATACATGTACTGGATGTTTTCAATGCATAAAATGTAAGGAAAATTTTTAATAAATAATGATTTAAGTGTTATTTTTGTGTTTTAATTATAAACCTCACCATTTTGGCCAAATAAAATTATTAGTATTATAAGTCTTTTTATTATCCTTAAAATGTTATAACTAAATTTTGTAACTGTTCGACTTATAATAATTTATTTACTTGTAATTACATTTAAAAAATTTAAGATAAAGTATAACTGAATAAAAAACTAATAAACACCTAATTGTTTACACTCATTTTTAATTAAAAATAGTTATTTTATCACGATTCTATGTATTAAATTTCTATTAACATATTTATTTTCTTTGGTATGTTATATACTATTTATGTTTAATTTGAATTATATAATATTAAATAAAAAAACCCAGCACAGGGGGGTCGCGGCACAGTGGTGACGTGGTATAGATGGATCAAGTATAATGATATCTGACAGTGATTAAAATCACTATCAAAAAAAAACGCTTCGATGCAAATCTTTAGATACTGTTTAATTTTAAAAAATTGGTGGACTATTCCAAAAGCTACATGATCTGCTAGTTCATTATTAATATCCTAATTAAGATAAAGTATGTAGAATGAAAAAGGGATTATTAAAAAATATTATTTCTCATAAAAAAATAATGTTGATCCATACACTTTTCAATATGTCATAGCATTATAAAGTTAAAAATGTAAAAAATAAAATCGAGAATTTTCACACAATAATAGCATTCGGTAGCCATTTTCACCGTGAAGATAAAATAAAGTCCGAAATTTTTTTTTTGCATAATAAAGTAAATTACATTAGCTTTAATTTAAGATATATATAAAAGTGTCAGACTTTCCGGAACACTTTCAAAATTTAAGTTGAAAAAGTAAATTTTTTGTGAAAAAGTTGTCATTTTAAATCCCCCCCTGTGGGCAGGTAAAGGGTCAGATATAAAAAAAATATATACCAAATGATAGGTAAAGACATCATGCATCTATAAAAAAAAAATTATATTGATCCATACATCTTTCAAAAAGTTATAGCATTATAAAGTTAAAAATATAAAAATGAATTTTTTTACAAAAATCGTTTTTTTTTATAAACTTTGATGTCTGTATTCACCATGAAGATAAAATAAATGTCCGAAATTTTTTTTTTCCATAATAAAGTATATTACATTAGCTTTAATTTAAGATATATATAAAAGTGTCAGACCTTCCGGAACATTTTCAAAATTTAAGTTAAAAAAATTAATTTTTTGTGAAAAAGTTGTCATTTTAAATCCCCCCTTGTGGGCAGGTTAAGGGTTAAATTTATGAAAAAAATATACCAAACGAAAAGTAATAATATTGCACATCTATACAAAAAAGAATTATATTGATATGTTCATTTTTGAAAAAGTTATGGCACTTTTAAGTAAAAAAAATTGAAAAAATTTCGAAAATTAGCGATTTTTAAATTTGTAATTTTTTTGGAGGTTTCCCCCATTTACGGGGAACGAGGGCATTTTTTTCAATTTTTGAGGGTAATGTCTTCGACTAGATACAATTTGTGATCTTTTGACGTATCATTGAAAGAAATTGGTTCGGTGAGAGCTGAGAAAAAGTGGTAACAGACACAAAAAAAAAATAAAAAAAAATAAACACATCTTAGTAAAACCAATACCTTCTCAGCTTCGCATCGAAGCTAATATGCTATTTATTAAAACGGAAATATAGAAAACTTTAATTACACAAAGTAAAATTGTAATGGTTATTTAGTGTTATGTTTATACGACACATTTTAGTCATTTTGACATTTTTATACATCATTTAAATAGGAGACATTTAATATAACCCATAATTACAGAAAATAATCTTCTATGAGCAAATATATATTTTTATAGTTAAATTAGTGACATAATTTCACCTTATGTTTCACAACTCTTAAATTGAGACAATAAATCATACACAATAAGAATGTATACATTTTTAAAATAAAATAATATATTTAACGTAATAAAAAATCAGTTATACCTTTATGTATAAATATAAAATGTAAATCAGCTTAAAGTTATTACATTTATAAATAAAGAAATTCGTTTTAGAATTTGATGTTTTAAATTTAAATGTTTATTTTTAATTTCAGTGGTTGGGTATAATACAAATTTTACTAATATTTTTTAACGTTTTATATCTTAAATGATTTATTTATCATTTTTTTTAGCTTCGATGCGAAGCTGAGAAGGTATTATTTTACTATTATGTGTTTTTTTTTTTTTGTCTGTTACCACTTTTTCTCAGCTCTCACCAAACGGATTTCTTTCAACGATACGTCAAAAGATCACAAATCGTATCTAGTCGAAGACATTACCCTTCAAAATTGAAAAAATTTCCATCGTTCCCCGGAAATGGGGGAAACCTCCAAAAAAATTACAAATTAAAAATCGCTAATTTTCGAAATTTTTTCAATTTTGATGTGAAACATCTATAGCCGGGGGGTAAAAAAATTTTTGGCGTGGTGACACTTGCCGTGGCGACGCGTCGCCACGCTATATATGTAAGCAACATTTCTCCCGCTACACTAAGCTTGGATACCTATTTAGTATATAGTGTTGTTTATTACGGTACACATAACCTGTGTTTTATCTAAAAAGAAAAGAATCGCGCTGAATAACGAACCTTCGATAACACTACATTGAAACGAGAAGTAATGATAACATTACATAATTATCGTACTGTACGTACTGTACGTACATCATCGGATTTTTTTGGATAAACTTTTTGTTATATAATATTAATGTGATTAAATGTTAATTATTTTATTTTAATTTTCATACACTTCAAATTATTAACGATAAATAAAAAATGTGTGACAGTGAAAGTGAGCAACCTCCTAAAAAGAAAGCGCTTTACGACACACTATCAAGTCATCTGTAAGTTGATTATATTTCTATTATTAAAGTTTGTATTTATCAATAAGTTTTATTTTAGCTTTTGTTTAATTTTTATATTAATTTTTTTTAGAGTAAATAATAGTAAAACTGAACGTCAAAAACGATACAGGGAGCAAAATAGACAGAAATTGAAACAGCGTGAAGCTGAAAGAAGAAAACGAATACAACATTCACAAAGTACTGCCGGGCCATCTACTTCTTCAAACACTAATAGCATTGAAGTGAGTGATGAAGAAACAATATCTGTTATTTCCCAAAGTCCACCTAGTCATCTGTAAGTTGTTTAAATTCATAGCATTAAATTTTGTATTTATTAGTATATTAAGTCTGTGTGTATTTCGTCTATTTAAAGCCTCGGTTAATGTAAATATAATTAAGATGCTTGAGTTTTTAAATATATTTAAGTCATATTTTACTGCCCTTTTTTTTAATTACATAATTTTTTTTTATAAATATTTTAAGAGTCAACAATAATTACAACAATGGTCACAAAATATTATTATTGAAGCTGGAAATCACCAAGGTCAGTTAAACACAAGACACACCATTAATGTTAGAGTAAATAATAATAAAACTGAACGTCAAAAACGATACAGGGAGCAGAATAGACAGAAATTGAAACAGCGTGAAGCTGAAAGAAGAAAACGAATACAACATTCACAAAGTACTGCCGGGACATCTACTTATTCAAACACTAATAGCATTGAAGTGAGTGATGAAGAAACAATATCTGTTATTTTCCAAAGTTCATCTGGTTTGAAATATAAATAAATATTTCAACGATAATTTTTAAAATAATGAATTTGGACTTGCTTGTTCAATTTGCGACCGACTTAGGTTTGAGAAAGATTTGAAGAAACCATCTGCATCTGGATGTATAATTGACACTTTAACCATTGGGAAAAATGTGGATGCACTCAAAATTTGCTCCACATGTAAATCAGCAATAGATAAAAATCACATTCCTAATTTCTCTGTTTATAATGGAATCATTATCCAAAAGTACCACAGCATTTACCAAAAATAGATTTCATCACTGAAAGGCTTATCTCACCTCGAATTTCTTTTATGCAAATAAGAAGATTGAAACATGTTTAAAGACAATTTGGTATATACGGACAAACTATCAATGTCCCTGTTGCTGTTGAAACCATGGTCCGGTCACTTCCAAGAAATGTTAATGATGAACTTTGCATTTACGTACATATCAAAAAGAAAATAATTCATAAAAGTAGTTTTGTTCATGGCTTAATTAGCATCGGATCAGTTAAACAATGGTTGCATTATTTGATTAATACTCCTTTATATCAGCATTACAAAATAACAGTTGATGAATCATTTTTTAATGAAGAAGCACCATTCATTACACAACAGAATATTGATGAATCAGTGAAAACATTGATATTGAAGAAAGCCTTACTGCTTAACAACAAACTTTAGTATGGATTGAAGAAAAATATTTAAGATTGGCACCAGGCCAACAAAATATTCCACAAAGTTTATTATTTGATGAGCATGCTGAAGAGTTGTCATTTCCGAGTATTTATATGGGACACTTTAGTAAATTTAAGGATACAGTCAATGTTACACCTTTTATGATGGCATCTAGTGAACTGCGACGTAAGGATCGTCGAGGCGTCGATCCCTATCATTTGTTATATATGGCTGTAAAAATAATGAGACTGCGAGTTTGTGACTGTTTAACAATAGCATTCAAACATGTTGGTACAGATACCAATGTAACTAAGAAACAAGTTCAATCCGAAGATTATATTCATAACTGTAAAGAGTCCAATTTAGCTTTTTTAAGGTCAATACCCAATTCAGTTTGGTACTGGTCTACAAGAAAAAAAGATTTATTTACAATAATTCGACAGCTTGGGAAGCCAACAGCATTCATACAATTTTTATATTAGAAATAATATTTATATCCCTCTTTCATTCGACATACTTAATCCTAATCAGGATATATAAAGAAATAGCAAATCATTTAGCTTTTATAATAATCCACCGATTGTTTAAATTAAACATTATCTAAAGATTTGTATCGAAATGTTTTTTATGATTGTGATTTTAATCACTGTCAGATATCATTATACTTGACCCAACTATGCCACGTCACCACTGTGCCACGACCTCCCTGTTCTGGGTTTTTTTTTAAACATATTAACACGGCTGCCGTGGATTTACGGCCGGTTATAGAAAGTGTACCTTTAGATTGATAATTTTAAAGTGAAACTTTAAAATTAATTTTTTACACAATGAAAAAATTAATACATTATATATACAGAGTGTTCAGTAAGTCAGGAAACGGGTTTCTATTGTTCTCATTGTTTGTAACAATGAGAACAATAGAAACCCGTTTCCTGACTCACTGAACACCCTGTATAATGTATATATTATGTTGAAATTATAAACTAAAAGTCTGACAAGTATTCAAAAAAAAAAAGTATCTAGATAAAAAATTGATTTGTCTTACCTTCGTGTTTTATTCTGTATGTTTTAAATTATTAATTTTGTAGGAACAAAAATATAATACGGTTTACTTCCAATACCTATTCGAGTTTAAAATAGTATTTTTTTAAAATTTAACAGCTAAGTAAACGGTTTGTGCTTTATTATCTATTATACTATTTTCATTTGTAAAATTATTTTCTGTACTTTTGTAAAGTTAACAAGTTTAAACAGCGGCATTCATAATTCTGCGTTAAGTATTCAAATATTAATTTGTTTGTGGCGCTCTGCTTCATACGAAACAGGTGAGTAACAGTATTGAATGTACAAATGTTACCAAACTTGTTGTGGAATTAAGGATTTATTTTATTTTAAATAATAACACAGCGGTTAAATTTATTTTAAATTAGTATTTAATAAGTCCGTACAAATATCACAATTATTTATTCTGTGAGGACGTCGAAGGGAAAATTAATATAAGATTCATCAGTGGCCGCTGGGCTGGGGACCGGTTCGCATCACCCGCGATCACTCGGCGCGCGCGACCAGTCGGACAAGGAGAGCTAGCTGTGTCGCAGCGCCATCCAGCGGTAAAGCCGGAAGTGCAATGCGACGCATCAAGCTAATGGTAAAATCTTATTATATAATAGAACAAGGAAAAAGACGCTTTTCTGGGAAAATTACTTAGTGTGCTCGGATTTCCAAAATTTTTTTTTTCAACAAAAGTACTCGGTTACCAGACTCCGGGAATATTATTGGCGAAGGTCGGAAAATTTTTGAAATTTTCACCAGACCCGCCCAATGACATTCCTGAGATATGATAAAAAAATCAATTCAATCCGTTCAATTTTCACCGTTTTACGAGCTTTTCTTTTTTTTTTTAAGTCCACGCGCATGGTTTTAATGTGCGCAGTGATTCATTTCTGCTCATACGTTGGGTTATGAACCTTAATTATATGGTGTAACTTGTATTATTATTAGGACACTTTTTTGCATTTGCACTATATTTTATCAAGGAATAATATATGTTATATATAAATTTCAAGACGTTATAATTATATAAGTTTTTACTTTCATTATCAGAACAGTACATTATTAATAATCTTTTTTTTCTCATACATGATTTATCTATCATCTATGATAACTGTGCTGTTCAACGTTAAATCGCAATTACCAATATTTTTATCAAAATTAAATTTTTTACGATGTGCCATGTATAATAACCTGCTAAATTTTAGCTTCGATGCGAAGCGGAGAAGGTATTAATTTTACTATGATGTTTTTTTTTTTTTTTTTNGTTCTGGGTTACCTTACCTTTATGTTTTATTCTGTATGTTTTAAAATATTAATTTTGTAGGAACAAAAATGTAATACGGTTTACTTCCAATACCTATTCGAGTTTAAAATAGTTTTTTTTTAAATCTTAACAGCTAAGTAAACGGTTTGTGGTTTATTATTTATTACACTATTTTCATTTTCTGTACTGTTGTAAAGTTAACAAGTTTAAACAGCGGCATTCATAATTCTGCGTTAAGTATTCAAATATTAATTTGTTTGTGGCGCTCTGCTTCATACGAAACAGGTGAGTAACAGTATTGAATGTACAAATGTTACCAAACTTGTTGTGGAATTAAGGATTTATTTTATTTTAAATAATAACACAGCGGTTAAATTTATTTTAAATTAGTATTTAATAAGTCCGTACAAATATCACAATTATTTATTCTGTGAGGACGTCGAAGGGAAAATTAATATAAGATTCATCAGTGGCCGCTGGGCTGGGGACCGGTTCGCATCACCCGCGATCACTCGGCGCGCGCGACCAGTCGGACAAGGAGAGCTAGCTGTGTCGCAGCGCCATCCAGCGGTAAAGCCGGAAGTGCAATGCGACGCATCAAGCTAATGGTAAAATCTTATTATATAATAGAACAAGGAAAAAGACGCTTTTCTGGGAAAATTACTTAGTGTGCTCGGATTTCCAAAATTTTTTTTTTCAACAAAAGTACTCGGTTACCAGACTCCGGGAATATTATTGGCGAAGGTCGGAAAATTTTTGAAATTTTCACCAGACCCGCCCAATGACATTCCTGAGATATGATAAAAAAATCAATTCAATCCGTTCAATTTTCACCGTTTTACGAGATTTTCTTTTTTTTTCAAGTCCACGCGCATGGTTTTAATGTGCGCAGTGATTCATTTCTGCTCATACGTTGGGTTATGAACCTTAATTATATGGTGTAACTTGTATTATTATTATGACACTTTTTTGCATTTGCACTATATTTTATCAAGGAATAATATATGTTATATATAAATTTCAAGGCGTTATAATTATATAAGTTTTTACTTTCATTATCAGAACAGTACATTATTAATAATCTTTTTTTTCTCATGCATGATTTATCTATCATCTATGATAACTGTGCTGTTCAACGTTAACTCGCAATTACCAATATTTTTATCAAAATTAAATTTTTTACGATGTGCCATGTATAATAACCTGCTAATTTTTTTTTTAATTATTCTATAATATAAACACAATTATTATAATTAGATTATTAATAATTTTTGTGTATAATAGGGATGTATTTAAGAGAGATATGGGCCCCCCTTGAACCACTGCTATCAATATTTTTTAGGCAACTTCTAATTTATAAGGACCTAATGTCCTTTTTTTTCATCATTACTTTAATTTTAGCAAAAAAATTTTTATAACATGTTTAACAAAGTAAAAAATATTAAATTGTCTCCTAAAATAATTTTTGAATAAGCCTAAAGGGAATACCTCATTAACAAACGTCAACTTTATACCCAATAAATTTTACTATATTCTCTTTTTTAATTTTCCTGATTTTAATAATAATATTTTNATTACTTTAATTTTAGCAAAAAAATTTCTATAACATGTTTAACATATATATACTTTATTCCACTGATTCTGATGTAATATTTTTTCTGAAAAACACCTATCGTGCCCGGAGTAGCCGGGTACCCCTACCGGAATCAGTGGCCTACTTATGATGACGGCCCGAAGAGGCTTACGCGCCAAAGGTTCGAAAGACTCCGGGTCTGGGGCGGAGCCTAGTTATTAATAATAATAGATCAAATTTAATCGAAATCAAAAATTTTATCACAAAAATCTAATTTTGATTCATACTTATTCTTAAGTATTAAATAAAAGTTTATTTTTATTTTTAGGTGAAATTATTCTTTAAAACTAAACTTTTCAGTAGTATTGTAAGAAAAACTGTAATTAGTCGCTTCTTCAATCATTTAAGTTATACTTTTAAATTTTTTCATTTAACATTGCGTAATCATAACTGTTTATTGAAAATTCAAAATGACCTATTATAATTACATCGTAGTCAGTTTAATAATATTTTGTACAATTACGAACACCGAAACAGCGCCTAATTCATTAAAAGTTATACGAATCTTAAAAAATCTATTCAAGCATTCTGGATGGCAAAATTTAAATGACGTAAATAGTATAATATACATGAATAATGAACATAAATTAAATAAGGTTATTCGGAGTCGAATCGATAGAAATAATTGTAATTCCCGAATTCGATTGGCAACTGTTTATCTGGGCTGTAATTATGCCAAATTTTTAAAAAAAATTATTTTGATACTTCAACATTTTCATACTCACTGTGAAGATTTAAAAGGTAAAAGTAATAGAGACGACTGCATTTTAAAACTTCTTAACACAATACATATAATAAGAAAAGAAACGCCAAAGTTAAGAGGCGCCATGGATCTATTGGACAGCTTTCGAAGTTTGCCACGGAATCATTCAAAAAAAACGTTTATTTTAATTCCTATAATAATATATTTAGAAAATAGTAAAATTCCCCTTCCTATACAGGATAATTTAACAGACACTAGTAAGACACTAAATAAATTAAACGAATTAATATTAAAAATTAAAGCAATTCTAGATTTTGACATTTCAAAATATTGTAATATTACTTGTGTGTCTGATGATCTTATGTTACAGCAGCAATATAATATCGAAATCGAAAAAAACACTATTATAATAAATAATGAACGACTATTTTATAAATACTTTAGTAATAAAATAAATGATGAAATTCAAGTTACGATTAAAGAAAAATTTTACGATTTGGGATTCCAATATGACACTGAAACTGGCAAAACGACAATACCAATACATATTGACCTGATCTCTGGAGGAAAGTTTTGTAAAGGTAGATATTACAAAGGAAAATCATTCAGTAAACTTAAATTATTTAACCAATATAACACAAAATTATTAATTATGCATTTCATTATACTTAATATTAATTTATTTTATTTTATAATACGCATATAAATACTTTTATGTGTTATAGTTCTTCATAAACATGGTGTGTATCAAAAGACAGGTGATTTGGTTTCCCTTATAATTATTTAAGCTATACTAATTTATTGTAATTCAATTTATTTATAATAAGTATGATTTTATAGAAATATTACTCTTTATTTAGCTGTTTCTACGCAGTCAGTAGATAATTCTATTGAAAGTGAATCTAGCGAAGATGATGAAAAGGAATTTGACAATGAGAAATTGACAAAAAGTAATCATCAATATAAAAATTAAATATATTATTTACTCTTTTTACCATAATTTTTTAGAGTTAAAACGTATTGCCAAAAATCAAGATACTCAGTCTTCAACATTTATTGAATCACCAGAAAACCGAGTTTATTTTAATAAATATCTTGATTAATTATTGGTTCAACATTTTTATTAATCAGTTAATTTTTCTAATATCATATAATCTAAATATGATATTAATATATAACAAATTCAAGTTTATTCAGTTTTATGTGAAAGAGAAATAAATTAAAATACATATCTTTAAATATAAAATTACAGTAAATATAAAATTTTTGAAAATACATTTATTTTACTTTAAGTGCATAAAGATTTTTTATGTGTAAAAAGCAGGATTGAGATGCTTATGACATTTTGTTGTAAACTTCATAATTAAAACATCAAATTAATCAATCCATTTTGTTTAGATCATTTAAAACAATTATTTCAAACAACAAACACTTGAAAAAATCAAGTTTAAAACATATAAAAAAATTATTAAGAAAAGATAATAATATAACATTTTAATCCTCTTTAAAACAATTACCGCTAATTTTTTAATTAACAAAAAAAAAAAACATTTTTCTCTATCTGAGTAAAATGTGGCCAAACCAGCACTCTTAAAAATGTCTGAATTTTCACATACATATACTGGATGTTTTCAATGCATAAAATTTAGGGAAAATTTTTAATAAATAATGATTTAAGTGTTATTTTTTTGATTTAATTATAAACCTCACCATTTTGCCCAAATAAAATTATTAGTATTATAAGTCTTTTTATTATCCTTAAAATGTTATAACTAAATTTTGTAACTGTTCGACTTATAATAATTTATTTACTTGTAATTACATTTAAAAAATTTAAGATAAAGTATAACTGAATAAAAAACTAATAAACACCTAATTGTTTACACTCATTTTTAATTAAAAATAGTTATTTTATCACGATTCTATGTATTAAATTTCTATTAACATATTTATTTTCTTTGGTATGTTATATACTATTTATGTTTAATTTGAATTATATAATATTAAATAAAAATATGCTATTTATTAAAACGGAAATATAGAAAACTTTAATTACACAAAGTAAAATTGTAATGGTTATTTAGTGTAATGTTTATACGACATAATTTTAGTTATTTTGAAATTTTTATACATCATTTAAATAGGAGACATTTAATATAACCCATAATTACAGAAAATAATCTTCTANTGTCTTCATAGTTATAACCCATAATTACAGAAAATAATCTTCTATGAGCAAATTTATATTTTAGCTTCGATGCGAAGCTGAGAAGGTATTGGTTTTACTATGATGTTTTTTTTTTTTTTTTGTGTCTGTTACCACTTTTTCTCAGCTCTCACCGAACGGATTTCTTTCAATGATACGTCAAAAGATCACAAATCGTATCTAGTCGAAGACATTACCCTTCAATATTGAAAAAATTTCCATCGTTCCCCGTAAATGGGGGAAACCTCCAAAAAAATTACAAATTTAAAAATCGCTAATTTTGAAATTTTTTCAATTTTTTTTACTAAAAACTTCCGTAACTTTTTCAAAAATGAACATATCAATATATATATTTTTTATATAGATGCTTGATGTCTTTACCTATCATTTGGTATATTTTTTTTGTAAATCTGACACTTAACCTGCCCACAGGGGGGATTTAAAATGACAACTTTTTCACAAAAAATTAACTTTTTTAACTTAACTTTTGAAAATGTTCTGGAAGGTCTGACACTTTTATATATATCTTAAATTAAAGCTCATGTAATGTACTTTAATTTGAAAAAAGAAAATTTTGGACTTTATTTTATCTTCATGGTGAAAACAGACATCAAATATTATAAAAAAAATACGATTTTTGTAAAAATATTCTTTTTTATATTTTTAACTTTATAATGCTATAACTTTTTGAAAGATGTATGGATCAATATAATTCTTTTTTTTATAGATACATGATGTCTTTACCTATCATTTGGCATATTTTTTTTTCATATCTGACCCTTTACCTGCCCACAGGAGGGATTTAAAATGACAACTTTTTCAAAAAAAATTTACTTTTTCAACTTAAATTTTGAAAGTGTTCCGAAAAGTCTGACACTTTTATACATATTTTAAATGAAAGCTAATTTAATATACTTAATTATGCAAAAAAAAAAATTCGCACTTTATTTTTTCTTCACGGTGAAAATGGCTACTGAATGCTATTTTTGTGTGTAAATTCTCGATTCTATTTTTTACATTTTTAACATTATAATGCTATACTTATTGAAAAGTGTATAGATCAACATAATTTTTTTATGAGAAATAATATTTTCTAATAATCCCCTTTTCATTCGATATACTTTAATATACTTATATACTTATTAATAAGGAACTAGCAGATCATGTAGCTTTTGGAATAATCCACCAATTTTTTAAAATTAAATACTATCTAAAGATTTGCATGAAAGCGTTTTTTATGATAGTGATTTTAATCACTGTCAGATATTATTATACTTGATCCAATTATGCTGCAACGTCACCACTGTGCCGGGAGCCCCTTTGCTGGGTTGGGTTTTTTAAGTTAAACACTATCTACAGATTTGCATCGAAGCGTTTTTTAGGATAGTGATTTTAATCACTGTCAGATTAAATCTACACTGGACCCAACTATGCAACGTCTTCACTATGCCTTGACCCCACTGTGCTGGGTTTTTAATAGATAATGATGTAAATAAGAAAATTACTGGTTGAAAATAACTTTAAAACCAGCATTTCAGAAGTTATTAAGAATTTAATGTTATAACTGGAAATGAGGAGTGGGTGCACCTATTTTTAATTGTGTTATTGAAAAAAAATTTCTAAAGTACTGGTCCAAAAATTGTTATTGACCCAACTATGGCACGTCACCACTGTGCCACGACCCCCCTGTGCTGGGTTTTTTTTTCTTATTATACTCTCAAATAATATCGATTTAGATATTGTCACAAGTCTCATTCAATGATTGAAAAAGGCGCTCTCTGATAATTATTATTAAATAAATTAAAACATTATCGCTATTAATAAGCAGGAGACCCTTGTTCTTCTAACGAAAGCCGTTCGCTACACTTACTTATGGCATTTCTTTTTCTGTTATTCTGATTTGTAAAATACATTAATACGGAAGTTTCCTCTTGGAAAATAGTAAAAACTATAATTATTTGATTTTTTACATTATTATACATCTCTCTTCAAAATGTATGATAAATTCATAGGTATGATAAATTGGTATAAATAGTAAATATAAATCAATAATAAAATAAAAACAATGAACTCAAGTCACAGCACACTAGTACCCCCAAAATTGTATTAATATAGAGGCGTTAATATTTTACAATGTTCTTCGATAATAATGAATATTCCACTAATTCTACATTTAAACAAATCATTAGCTGTGCGTTTGCGATGGGATTATGTGATCTAAGTCATTAATAACCATGCTATTCTAAAATGTCATCGAAATGTTCTTAAATTATAATTTGACAGTAAATTTAATTACCATTAAAATAATAAAGACATTGGTAAGCATTTCAATATAAATTTATTTAATCAAACTAATTTATTCCTATTTCTACACATTACTCTTTGTTAAAATATATAAACTGAACATTTCGCACAAGTTTTATTTTTAACATTCAATTATAAAAAAACTATTAAATAACAAATCGACTTTGCAGTGATTTGATTTATACCTTCGTATTAGTTAAAACTGTGAGTAGGAAAAATTATTGCCATGCGCTACAAAAGTCGGTGGCAGTCTCTTCTTTCATATTGAAAGTTCAGTAAGCGTTCGCGTTTCTATTTATAAACAAGTATGTTCGTCTACAAATTTTTCCAAATGCTAACCACGTGTCGAACATAACCTTTGAGTTTTCGAAATCTAGTGAGTAAAAATTATTTTTTAAGAGATTCTGTTTTTCATATGATAACAATTTTAACTATACTTAATGTTAATTTTACTTATATGCTGAAAAAATAGGATGATCGATTAAGATATGACACTCATTTTCTTGAAATCTATCAAAAATTAAAAATTTTCGTAAAAGAAAAAAAATTGTTTGATTCAAAAAACTTTACAATAACTTCTAGTTAAATATTTTACCTTATAATATCCTTCAGATATAAAAAAACTAAACTCTAATTTTATTTATTTATCTTTAGGATAAAAAAAAGTAATTTTTTTTTATCATATAATCAAAACAAAAATACGGTTTCCCATTAAAGAAATTAAAATTTTAGGTTTTTTATCTCTGAGAGTATGAAACAACATTTTTTTCTTTTTAAAAATTGAAAATATTCAATAGTTTCTGAGAAAATGAGTATATTAGCATTAATCTATCACTTTGTACAGAAAAATCAGTTTAATAATACTTAATCATAATTTAATTTCAACTCAATTACTTAAATTAGCTCTCAATTTATGTTTAAGCAATTTTTTATTTATGCAATAGCATGTTAATAATATTATTGCCTATGTGAAATCATCTGGAACTATAACAATCCTATGATGTATCACTTCTATGGAATTTCAATTTTTTTTTTTTTGACATACACTTTTTGATTTCAAAATATACAAGAATAAAAATAATAAACAAGAATTATTAAGTTTCAGGTTTCAATTAATCATTCATAATATTTCCTTAATTTTATGTTCTATATTTTATGCGCCATATTAATTATCGAGATGATATTTCCCCAGCTAATTGAATAATATAACCGTATATTTTACTATTATGATGTAAACATTTTAGCTTCGATGCGAAGCTGAGAAGGTATTAATTTTACTATGATGTGTTTTTTTTTTTAGCTTCGATGCGAAGCTGAGAAGGTATTAATTTTACTATGATGTGTTTTTTTTTTTATCTTCGATGCGAAGCTGAGAAGGTATTAATTTTACTATGATGTGTTTTTTTTTTTATTTTTTTATTTTTTTTTTTGTGTCTGTGAACGCTCAATCTCAGCTCTCGCTGGACCGATTTTGATGAACAATATGTCAAAAGATCACAAATCGTATCTAGTCGAAGACATTACCCTCAAAAATTGAAAAAAATTCCCTCGTTCCCCGTAAACGGGGGAAATCCCCCAAAAAATTACAAATTTAAAAATCGCTAATTTTCGATATTTTTTCAATTTTTTTTACTTAAAATTGCCATAACTTTTTTAAAAATGACCGAATCAATATAATTTTTTTTTTTATAGATACCTTAGATAATTACCTATCATTTTATATATTTTTGTGAACATTTGACCCTTTAACAGCCCAAAGGATGGGGTTTCAAAATGGTAACTTTTTTACAAAAAATTAACTTTTTCAACTTAACTTTTGAAAATGTTCCGGAAAGACTGACAATTTTATATATACCTTAAATTAAAGCTAATGTAATATACTTTAATTTGAAAAAAAAAAATTTGACCTCTGGACTTGTCTTCATGGTGAAAATGACTACCGTATGCAAAAATATGCTATTTTTGTGAAAAAATTCTTGATATTATATTTTACATTTTTTAACATTATGTTGCTATAACTTTTTAAAAAATGCATGAATCAACTTTATTCTTTAATGATAAATACTTTATATATACTTCTTTCATTCGACATACTTTTTTTTAAAATCGGACCATTTCCCTTTATACAGGGGGGGTGCAAACCTTTTAAAATGCGTATAGAAAGTAGAACTTTTTCAACTTAACTTTTGAAAATGTTCCGGAAAGACTGACACTTTTATATATATCTTAAATTAAAGCTTATGTAATATACTTTAATTTGAAAAAAAAAAATTTGACCTCTGGACTTGTCTTCGTGGTGAAAACGGACATCAAAGTTAAAGAAAAACGTACGATTTCCGTGAAAAAAATCTCGATTTTATATGTTATATTATTTAATTTATATTTTATATAACTTTTGGAAAAATGTATGGATCAATATTATTATTTTTTTATAATAAATATTTATATACCCCTTTCATCTGGCACGCTTTTTTTGTAAATCGGATCATACCCCTTTAACAAGGGGGGTCAAAACTTTAAACATGCGTATTGTTACTACGATATTTTCAATTTAATTTTTGAAAGTATTCCGGAAATACTGACACTTTTAAATATATCTTAAATTAAAGCTTATGTAATATACTTTAATGTGAAAAAAAAAAATTTGACCTCTGGATTTGTCTTCATGGTAAAAATGACTACCGTATGCAAAAATATGCTATTTTTGTGTTAAAATTCTGGGTTTTGTATTTTATTTTATTTTAAAATACCTGACAAGGGGAGTACAGATTTTCATAAATATTATATAAATTAAAATTGATATAGTATAGATAGTTAAACTTATTTAAATATGTTTGTTTCTTTTAAGTCGAGAAAAATAACTTTGAAATTTGAACTAGCTTAAATAGCCAATTTTTCAACCGCCGGAAGCAACGTACGGTTGCCGAGTTGGTAAAATTTATGTTTTACACGCTTGGGGTACGAGGTTCCAACCCGCATATGGCAATGAATTTTTTGCATTTTTTCTTAATTCTTTTTAAGTTAGTATAAATTTTAACTCGTTTGATTTTTATCACATTTAGATTCAATAACTTCAATAAAGATCAAGGATCCCATCACTTTAGTCGCCCCTTGCAAGAAGAAATTTCTTATTCGTATTAAAATTATTTTACTATATTTTAAGTTTTCGCTTCGATGCAAAGCCGAGAAGATATTTTTTTGTGACTATCATTTATTTTCTCTGCTCTAACTTGACCTACTTTTTTCAACAATACGTCAAATTACTACAATTCGTATCTAGTTGAAGATATTACTCTCAAAAATTGAAAAAAAAATTCTAATTTATCAATTAAACAGTTAGTTATTACATCGTCTCCATAAAGACAATTAAAATCATTAATTTCTAATGTTTTCAAAATATTTATTAACGAATGAAGTTTGATATGATAGGTTTCAACTACAAAATTAAATCATTTTACTTTGTAATTTAATAATTTTATTACTCTGTTTGTGTGTGCTACTATTAGACTATAATATTCAAATTTTTTTCTAACGTGTTGCTATATAAATCATTTCTAAAAAAAATGATTGTTTTTTCTCCTGAATTAACAATTGATTTTTACAAATATAATCAAATTTTATAATAAACTCAATTGAGTAAATCTTTTTAACAACTTTGTTTTGATTGGTACATTTAGTTAAAGTAAATCATTAAAATTAATTAAGTTCTCAATATTTCAATTATAGAATCTTTTCAACAAACAACAAAAGTTCCTAGGAAATTATTACTATTACTTCTATTTAAGTTATCTATTACCATAAAAATGCAAAAAAATATTGAGCTTTTCTGATAAATTTACAATAAATAGTAATTATAAAACTTTCTGACTGCATATTGATCTTAACGATACAATTTTTTTAATTGTCATAAAATTTTCTATTTAATTATGTCAATGTCAAACTTACCAATTGAGCTAAAAGTTATGGTAAAATAAATTTTTTTTTTTTATTATAAACATTTACAACAATCAACTTTAAACGATTAACAAAATTGGTTAAATATGTCATTTTCCTTATTTTTAACTTATTAATAATCAAATTAATATTAAATATTATATCAAATCAGTATTAATTTAAAACAATTTTTTTTGTTCTTAATTATTTTTTTTTATATGTAAAAACTATTTTTTAATAATATTAAAACTTAGAAGTTATAGAAAAAGTCTAATTGCACATTTTAAAACATCGCGAAAAGTTGATTTAGAATAGTATATTTTTGTTTCTGATGGAAGTTCCTTGTAGTCCAGTGTATAAAACTTATAACTTTGTTAATTGTTATAACTTTATCAAAAATGACCAAATCAGTATATTTTTTTTTATTTAGATGCATGTCTTTATCTATCATTTGGTTTTTTTTATAAATCTAACCCTTTACCTGCCCACAAGAGGGATTCAAAATATTAACTTTTTTTTTTTTAGTTAAAGTAAATCATTAAAATTAATTCAGTTCTGGATATTTCAATAGTAGAATCTTTTTAAATATCAAAAATTACTTAGAAATGATTACTATGATTTCTATTTAAGTGTTCTATTACGATAAAAATGCAAAAAATAATGAGTTTTTCTGATAAATTTACAATAAATAATAATTATAAAACTTTCTGACTGCATATTAATCTTAAAAATAACATTGTTTTAATTCTCATAAAATTTTCTATTTAATGATTCATTCTAGTCAACGAAGGAGTAATTTTGCAGAATAGCAGAAAAAATTCCCAACAAACTTTTTTTTTTTTTGTTTTAATTAGGCAATTGGTGGATTATTCCAAAAGCAACATCAACTCTTATTTCTTTAATTATATCATGATTAGTAGTTCTTTGATTTTAAAATATAATATTTGAATATATACTAATTATAATTATTAAATTTAGTATGAAATTGATATTTAATATTGTAATTTAAACGGAGAAATTATAAAAATAATAAAGAAGTTATATTTTGCTTTACTTTTACGTGTATAAAAATTTAAAGGGCTTGATACAATAATTTTCAATAAAAACTGTTTGTTACTATAAAAAAATGCACTGGACTACAAGGAACTTTCATCAGAAGCAAAAATATACTTTTCTAAATCAACTTTTCGCGTTGTTTTCAAATCTGCAAGTAGACTATTTCTATCACTTCTAATTTTTTATATTATTACTAATTATATATATAAAATAATAATTAAAAGAAAAAAAAATTTGTTTTCAAATTATTACTGATTTGATTTTTAATATGTTAAAAATAATCAGTCCAAATTTTCAATTTTAACCTATTTTTTTGGTTCTTTAAAGTTGATGAAAAATTTTTGATAAAGATTTATGAAAGTTTATAGTAAAATAAATTGAATATATTACCATAACTTTTAGCTCAATTACAAGTTTAAAATTGACATCTAGGCCAGTCAACAAAGGAAAAATTGCGGAAAAAATTTTGTTTTTTTAAAAGTTGAATTAAAATATGTATAATGACATACTAATAGTCCTCAAGATTGGAATTGAGCTTTTTTTTTAAATCCTCGCAAAAGTTCAAAAATATGAGCTTTCTTAATTTTCTCAAAAAAAAATATTTAACTTACAAAAAAAAGTTTCGCACAAAAGTTGTTTAAAAGACAATTATAAATAAAAATATAATCTTATATTTTTTCATTTAAACAAATATTTTTCGAGTTACATTACATTTAATATGAGTAATAAAATTTATATTCCATTTTTTTCATTTTACGGTTACTTTTTATCATGTTATACTTACATTAGACACAATGTTATAAATGCATATGTGTGTATGTGTGAGTTTATTTATTTATTGTATCATTAAAGTGTAGTGTATATTGAGATACAACCGATAGAGTAGGTAATTGATTTGACGCTATATTATTTAAACCCAACTAAACGCTAAATTGTACATTCCGAAATAACAATCATATTATGTCAATTGCCACCGGAATATCTGGTAATATTTTTCTTTTTCTTTGCCTTAATCCCAACTACTTGGGGTCGGGCACCCTTATCCTAAGATTCCACTTGACACGATCTCCCACATCTTCTACGCTCACATCAGCTGTCCTCAAATCGCATTCAATAGCATCCCTCCATCTCTTTTTTGGTCTTCCTCTATCTCTTCTTCCTTCAACATTCATTTCTATAACTGTTCTTACAGCTTTCGATTCTTCTTTCCTCATACCATGACTAAACAATCTAAGTCTATTTTCTGTCATCTTATCCACGATTGACGCAACACCTATACTTCCTCTTATATGCTCGTTCCTTATCCTATCTTCTCTAGTCACTCCACTCATCCAACTAAGCATTCTCATCTCTGCTACACTTATTCTCTGCTCTACTTTCTTATCAACCGCCCAACACTATTAACCATACATCATAGCTGGCCTCACAATTTCATACTAAATTTAAAAACTATAATTAGTATTTATTCATATATTATATTTTAAAATCAAAGAACTACTAATCAGGATATAATTAAAGAAATAAGAGTTCATGTTGCTTTTAAAATATTTCACCAATTTCTCTAAAGGAAACACTATCTACAGATTTGCATCGAAGCGTTTCTTATGATAGTGATTTTAATCACTGTCAGATATCATCTATACTTGTCCCATCTATGCCTCATCCACACTGTGCCTCGACCCCACTGTGCTACCGTTTTTTTTATTCTTTATATTTACTTATTCGCGACAGAATTATTCGTGATTATAGTTCATTGAATTAAAAACTAATTTACATATCCTAAAAAATTTATTTAAATTTAAACAATAAACAAACAAATAATATCAGAAAAAATTATTTTTCGAAAATATAATCTATATAATTTATTTCATATTACCATTATTTACTAAAATTATTAATATAATACTTAAATAAAATATTATCTAATTTTTGTTCAAATTTCAGACTTGAAACAAGTCTGAATAGTGTTAAGCCTCGGTACTTTTTGTTTATTTACATATTTATTTAAGTAAATATTATTTCTGTAATAAGACAAATATATTAAGGCTTTTCCCTACCATTAAATTCTATAAAAAAAATTAAGCTTAAATGTTTAAAATTTAGTTCTATTCGATCTATTTAAATAAAAATAGTTAATGAGATGTTCATTATTTATAAAATTGGAGATACACCTCTTTCTATTTTTTCACTGATATTTATTGAACTGAATATTTAATATATTATTCTCTAAACCCTTATTGGTGGCAGTTTAATATTCTTCGGAGATATAAAAGCATGTAGCCTCTGTGATTGAAACTGGTAAAATACATTCTTCTTTTCCTTATCGAACATACACAAAATGAAATGTAATCATAAATTTATTGTGCTTAGCTTATGTGCCAATAATAATGATAATGTATGAGTGTATTCTGTGTACGTGATCATCTTCGTCTAACTTTATTTTAATTACATTCGATTTTTTGAAATGTACGTCATTTGCTTATATAACCGACAAAATTAAGTAGATTTAAATAATAAAAAAAGTGAAGCTAAATTTTTGACTAGTTGTGTAATTTAAAATTAAAAAATTCGAGACTAATTGTTTTATTTGATGGTAATTTTATTCAGTCGTTCACGACTTAAAACATTTTATTTTATTCAAAAATCATATATGAAAATTGATAGTTAGCATTTAAAACTCGAACAATTATAAAGCAATGCGATTTCATAAATTATATAACAATTGAACAGCTTTAGTAAAATTTAAATTTTAATTAAGTAATCAAATTATTACTAAATAAAATACAATATTCTTATTATAACATCAATTTATATTACATTAAAGCTAAAATATGAAATTTTAACTTTTATATAATTGAAAAGATCATACTCTAACACATTTAATTTTCTTGATTGAAAAATATTTTCTTAAACTAGTTTGTTTGTAATAAACTGATTCAATAATTTAATCTTGAAGTCGTTAAATTTCCTTTAATGATTATTATATTATTTTTATCAAACTTGTTTTTTGGAGTTAAATAAGTTTTAACTGACTTCTTCGAAAGTATAACAATGTAATCTTATTATTTTTCATTTTCAACATCAACAATTATGAAATAAAATATAGAAAAAGCTCTATCAGAAGAATAAACGACAAATATAATAAACTTTTTGATGCCAACTAAAATGAACTAATTGCTATTTTAAAACTATTTCTGTAATTTTAATTTGATACATATTTCTTTAATTGTATATAATGTAAATGCTATTTAGACTAATAAACTTGCAGTTGAAACCTTAAATTGATATATTTATAAGAATGTTCATTTTTTTTATACTTTACTATAAAAAATCAAATTAAGTTGACTTTTTAATTAATTACTTCGCTTGTAATTATTTATTTTTTAATAATTTAAGACTAAATCAATTTACGAAACTAAAATATACCGCATACATCTATAAATATATGTATAAATCCTTATTTTAATTTAGGAAATATATTTTATTAATAAATTTCATTACAGCCATTATTGAAAAATAAATTAATTGGTCAGTTATTGTTAATTAGTTCCATATTGGTAAAAAGTAAATAAAAATGTGTTTTGGTGAGTTTTGTTATTGTTTTCTACAAAAACAAAATATGTTTATAATTACTTTATATTTATCAGTGCTCAACAAAATTGTGACAACTGGTAAGGTAAAGATAATTGATTCAAACTTCAGTGTAATAAATTCGTGTCCTCTTTTTTAGTTTGTACAAGATACCGTAAAAGTGTGTATGTGTAGCTATCAATCAAAGATGTGCCACCGTGATGGCAGAATTCTTACTGAATAGGGTAGAAAAGGTATCTTTTTTGTTGTTTTCCGCTTTCGGACAGATGCTTTACTATTATGTACACACACAAAATTTGCTCAAAGCACAGAGATAATGCTTCTTTTCTTTTTCGCTTCGACTTCAAAAACTGATGGACGTGTAACTTATTGCATTAGCAAAGGTATACGGTGAATAGAAGTAAAGGGTACTGTGAGAATGTTCTTTTCTATTGGGTCATATAAAATCATTTTGGTTTTGGTTTAACTTATAGGATTGAAAAATGCGCTAGTGATCGGTGATTATAAAATCGGTCAGCTTCGCATGATATCAGTTTTTATTATTGTCAGATTCATATTATCGTGTACATACCAGTATGAAACTATAAGATTAATACTCATAAGTTTCTGCACATTATACGCTAAACTTAAAATCACGATACACAATGTTACATTTATTTTCCTATGAATAATATTTTCTATGAAGTGTGGCCAAGATAGCGTTATAAACCCACTTTTTTATTTTATGTTCGTATTATTCTGTGTAATATTTTAGCTGTCTTGTCAAAATTATTGTACTGGAAACTAGTAAAATAGAACAGGGTCTAAAAAATTTCTACTATCATGTTGTATATTTTGTAGGCCTAATATACTTTTTCAATATCACATGCCACAGAGGCTAATACCTCCAGAAAAATGATTAAAAATAAAACAAAAATCAAAAATCATGAAATGGGCATAATTTTATCTGAGAGCAATACATTAAATATATATATATATATATTATTTTTTATGGCAGATGGTGTGATAGTGTTGTGCTACAATGTCTGATTTCGGTACGTACGGCAACGGCGGCGGTGGTGACTGTTACAAACACTGTGACGATACTGACCTTTATCATCAAGTAGTAGTGCTGTCAAAGCCTGACGGCACCGGTATTAGAAGTCACGCTAACGGGGGCGGCTGTGGTATGGATAACGGCCGGTACAGTGCCGAACAGATTCAGCACCATCAACCCTATTTGGTCGACGGTGGCGACATACACCAGCGACGAAGACACCGGTCATTTTGGTGCAGAACGACAACATTGGCAACAATTAGCGCGTTATTGGCAACTATGTTTTGTGTCACGTGTGCGATTTTATTTTACTATAACTGTAAGTAATTTTTTGGTTTTATAATTTTATTCGACATAGTGACAAATATCGTTGACGATGTTTTTTTTTTATCGCTATAAGAAAACCGTCTAACATTTTCTGTAGTAGATCTCAGGAGCTTAGGCATGTTCAAACGACAGCCATTTTTCAAACACAAACTGCTCTTTTGAAGATTATTACTGGAAAAGTATATTTTAAAAGTGAGCAAGGGAAATACCACCAGCCGTTTTCTTTGAAAACACATTATGAATTTGGTATTTCCACGGCATAATAATATTTATACATAGTTGAACATTCATAAATAGTTTTAAACAAATTATAGAGTTGTGTAGATAAGACAAACGATAATAATTTCAATGAATGTAGAACAATGATAGGAGTAAAACATTGTGACCAAGTGTCAGTGTAACAGATTGAGCTAAAAAAAATTGACATGTTTTATTTACGGCACAAAACTTTTATTTTTTACGATGACGGAAAAATTAATCGATGATACACTAACAGATTCGATTGGCGATGTTCCTCAATAGATTGGTAGCTCTGTACAATAATAATATATTCGCTGTTGTTTCTGGCTAATGAATGTACGGAAATCGATAGGAACGGTTACATATTACCGAGGTGTTTGGTAGATGCAGCAAATTTATTATACGCCAAAGACTGTCGAGAGCAGACACGCGTGGATGAACGCTGTTAAAATGTCCTCTATAATGATATATTATTTATTCTGGATATCAGAAATATTGATTTGGAAAGTTATGACTGATTGTGGTCAAAGGAGTGTAGGTCAAATAGTTTTAAAAACTTTTTACTGAATCGATATTCATCTTTCTACTATAACTATTACTATGCTATGCATTATTATTGCTTTAAAAAATATTACAACTATTAATTATAAGATTCTAACTCACTAAAAATTATTATTATTTTTGGTGGAAAAGCATCCATTATTAATTTTAACAAATTAATGATTCTTTGATACTAGACGTTTTAAAATAAACTTGTATTATAGTAATTAACACAAAATTATTTTTTTTTAGTTTATTCATTAACATTTACATAGATGTTACTATTTTCAATAATTTAAAGTAGTTTTCAATTAACTCTTTCATATCAAATCAATGTTTTTATTGATTAATTATTAGTTTAATTGTATTTACCCATATTATCATTTATAGCAATTGAAGGTAATTTTATTACAGTAGAATGAAAGGAATTAGATGACAAAGGAAATAATACTTACTAAAGCTACTGAAATATTTAAACAATATGATACACGAGCATAAATTGAATTTATAATTTTAACTAAATACTATAGTCATAATTTATGTTTAAGATACTTTTAATAAATAGGAACCGGCATATCTTCGAAAAGTAAAACTATTTGAAAGTCATAACTAAACTTGTGTGTTTAACTACCGTGTGTATAATAAATATTGTTTCATAATATTCATCATTAAACTTTTTAAATAAAAGACAAATTGATATTGGTAGGCAATAAACTATACTTGGTATCGGCTGAATTGTTTCGAAACAATTCCTATTACAAATATGTGATTTAATTACAAACTTTTCAAAATATCCTTAAATTACCAAATGCGTGAATATAAGTATATTTTTTTTAAATAAGAAAAAAATCGGATTGCTCAGAAAGGCAGAAAATGTCATGATTTTGTTAAAATATGATTTTTAATCCACTTAAAATAATTGACAGTATGCTGTTTTGCTTTGATATATTAAGAAAAATATTTTGTGAAAGGAAGTGCTGTTAAAATAAAATTTAGAAAATTACGTCAAGTTTGCTTCACAAGTAATCCCACTACTCCTTACAATGTTTATAATGACGAAGAATTGGCTTTAGCTTTGAAACTCACTGAGTGTTCAATACCATCTTGTTATAAAACTTTCACAAACCGATCAGGGAATAAAGTTAGAAAGAAATTTATGTGATGTCTGATTATAAGTTTTCTATTTTAACCATAAGAAAATATAACTAAAAGAAACTCAATTACTATAAATTCAAGATTAAAACTGTAGTTCAGGATTAAATAACCATAGGAGGCTTGTGTTAAACAAATTCTTGATGAGTTAACTATTTATAATTAGCATTATGATAATTTTTATGAATTAGGAAAATTAACTTTTAGAATTTAAATTATTTATTCGAATAAAAATAAAATCATTTATGATTACAAGTCAATAAATAAAATTAATCTATATTAAGTAATTAAAATTAATGCATTTTCATCACTAAGTAATTTTTTCTACACAATTGAAACTACCTAAAAATTATGAAGTTAATGACTGGTCGATAACATTTTATGAATATTCATAAATTTACAATTTGAATTAATTTATTTATTATTTGCAATTGACTATTTAAATTAGTCGTTTTACATTGTTAATTGTAGGAATATTTTTGGTAATATTGTTTAAGAGGTTTACTTTACATCAGATTATAAGTATTTAAGCTAAATTAATTAAATAATAATGAAACCATTCTTTTTTAACACTTTTCAATTTCATTGTATCTATTTATTTTAGATATTTAGTGTAGTTATTGAAACAATTATTCATCTATATTATAGATTCTATATACTGTTACTACGGTACTGTTCATTGTTATTGTACTTTTATAGGAACTTAATCATTTGTGACGTTTTAAGTACTTTCTGACACTTAAACTTGCTGATAACGTTTTATTTTTCGAAAAAGTTATTTTAGACCAAAACCGGAAAACGTTTAAAACAATTTTTGTCAAAATATAATCAAACAAATATGTGATATCAATAAACATAAAATATCATTAAACATAATACTATTTGTAACGTGAAGCAAAAATATATTTTTTTTAAATATAATATTTAAAATGAATTATATGTTAAAAAAATAATCACCTTTTTCAAATTTCTCAAGACAAATTATATTTTGAACCAGTTCAACATAAATGTGAAATAACGTTAAAATTTAAAAAATAAAAAAAGAGTAATAATTACATATTAGAGACGTAAAAATTGTGTAACGATTTAATGTTGATTTAATGTTAAACGGAAACAATTTTTTTATCAGACTCTTGTTTTGGACAATTGTATACGTTTTTATTTATTTATCAAATTTTAAAAGTAATTTCAAAGATTTTTATCAAATATTAGTTTTAATAATTAAAAAATAAATTTTGAACTAAACTTGAAGTGTTTTATAAAGTATTTTTTAATTTGTATATTTTTATTTGAATAAAACAATAAAATTAATTTACAATATTTTATTTTCTATCTTAATATTTTTCTTTTACTAAAACGTGATGCATTTATATTTATTATTAGTATAACAAAATGTATTAGACCGTTGTATTTTACCTTTCTAAATTTATTCACTGAGCGTTGAATTCTAACAAATCTACTAGACGAAACGGTAGGCAGTTTTGTGTTCTACGTAGGTCAAGTTATAGGTATGATAGGTCGATATCCAAATGAAGTGAAATAAATCTAAATTTTTTAGCTACCAAATAAATGAAATAAGAAAAAACGACCTTACTAGTAGAAAGACTTTTTTGTATTGAGTATTTGATTATTACACTCTTACACGTATACGAGTGTTCAATATAAAATCGAACTTAAAAGAAAACGTATTGCGCAATTTTGTTGATGGAAAAAAATAATTTACAATTACGTTATAAAGTAATGAATATTTATCATAATATCAGTACTACATAGCATCAGAAAAAATGAATAAATTTTCATTATAATTTGGTAAGATGAAAACGATACATTATTAAACATTCGTCTTATTATTATTAAAAATCATAACCTATAATTTGTAATGTGTTGTTTTGGTCACGTATTAAAATGTTCAAACGCCAAAAAGCTATTTCGTAATTAACCTTTATACTATATTAGTATTATTATTTTAATAAAGGTTTCAACATCGAAGGTTATTCTACATTTGCACAATTATTTACATTTTAATAGTTTAAACCTGAGTATTTACAAAACAATAAATATATTTACAATTTTTAACTTATATTTATATTGTTAAAGAATGTATGAATTAATTTTAGGTTTTGCTGGTCGAGTAATTGTTTAAATGAAACTGGATTTTTCAAAATTGAGTTATTTTTTTCGTATTTTGGACAGTTCATTATTATGTGAACTATTGTAAGATTGCATTTGCTTATTTTGCTTGTTGTTTTAGATTTAAACTTTTATTTTTTTATACTATTATAAGTTTTATGGCTACTTTCCAAATAATATTATCACCTGCTTTGTTTCAAATATAAAGGTCCACCGTCACACAAATGTTACTAATTCAATTACACAAAGTTCTTGTTAAAAATTCCCAACGTTATTGTTGTTATTTTTCGGATCATAAATATTTATTGTATTGTATAGCTTTATGTTTGTTTACATTGATCAATAATAATAAAACACCCATCCTAATGTTTTTACTCTTAAATTGAAAATTGTTTAGCTTTTATTTATTTTTACTTTTATTTAATAAAATAAATTTGTATTTTTTATTAACTTATGTAATATTTATACTTTCAACTATACAATATCAAATTTAAAAATACTTTGAAACTATACAACAAATAGTTTATGTAATATGTTAAAAACAGAGATTGAGACTTAAAGTTTGTTTTACTCATTCCTAGAACATCAATAATAAAAATATACTTGTGTTTGTTTTTGTTAACACTGAACAATATAAATTAATTAGAAATTTAGTTACCGTGGTCACTCTTCCTAGAACAAAAAATGTTCCTGTAGTTAGAGATTTGACAAACAGCTATAACAAAAGTATCAGATAGTGTCAACATCTTGTGGGACACTCTGTATACCTATGATACATTTTCTCATGGCTGAGTGTCTCGAATGCAGGCCAATCAAATTTTTTAAATGTTTTAAATTCCAAGCCCTGATTATAAACAATGAAATTATCTGAAAATAAATGATAAACAATGTCAATATTTTGCTGTGAAAATGTCTATTTTGAAAAGAATG